AAAAAATACTAGGTTTGATGTAGTTGTAGTTACCTCTTTTGTTTTTGTTGTCTGTACCTTGGTGTTACATCCAATAAATCCTTGCCAAGTCCAGTGTCTTCAAGCTTATCCCCTTTGTTTTCTTCTAGGAGTTTTATAGTTTTGGGTCTTATATTTAGATCTTTAATCCATTTTGGATTAAATTTTTATATGGTCTATGGTAAGTGTCCAACTCCATTCTTTTGCATGTGGACATGAGTTTTCCCAGCACCATTTGTTGAAGAGACTGTCCATTTCTCATTGAGTGATCTTGGCACTCTTGTTCAAGATCATTTGACCATATATGTGAAGGTTTGTTTCTGGCCTTTTTGCTCTATTGTATTGCCTATATGTCTGTCTTTATGCTAGTACCACACTGTTTTGATTACTGTAGCTTTACAGATTATTTTGAAGTGAGGAAGTATGACACTTCAAACTCGTTCTTTTTCAAAATTGTTTTGGCTATTGGGAGTCCCTTGAGAGTTCATATGAATTTTAGGATAAATTTTTCTCTCTCTGCAAAAAACATCATTGCGATTTGACAGGAATTATATTGAATTCTTAGATAGTTTTTATAGCTGGACATCTTAACAATGTTAAGTCTTTGAATCCACAAATACAGGGATCTTTCCATCTACTTGTCTTTAATGTCTTTCAGCCGTGTTTTGTAGATTTCAGGGTACAAGTCTTTCACCTTCTTGGTTAGGTTTATTCCTAAGTATTTTATTTTTTGTTGATACTGTAAATGGAATTGTTTTCTTAATTTCCTTTTCAGGTTGTTCATTGTTAGTATATAAAATGCAGCTTATTTTTGTATTTTAATTTTTGTATCCTATAACTTGGCTAAAGTCATTTATTCTAATAGTTTTTTTGTGGAATCCTTAGGGTTGCCTATATAAAAAGATCATGTAATCTTTTTTCTTATTATTATTTTTTTTATTCTTATGTTAATCCCCATACATTACATCATTAGTTTTAGATGAAGTGTTCCATGATTTATTGTTTGTGCATAACACCCAGTGCTCCATGCAGAATGTGCCCTCCTCAATACCCACCACCAGGCTAACCCATCCTCCCACCCCCCTCCCCTCTAGAACCCTCAGTTTGTTTTTCAGAGTCCATCATCTCTCATGGTTCGTCTACCCCTCCGATTTCCCCTGCTTCATTCTTCCCCTCCCGCTACCTTCTTCTTTTTTTTTTCTTAACATATATTGCATTATTTGTTTCAGAGGTACAGATCTAAGATTCAGCAGTCTTGCACAATTCACAGCGCTTACCAGAGCACATACCCTCCCCAGTGTCTATCACCCAGTCACCCCATCCCTCCCACCCCACCCCCCACTCCAGCAACCCTCAGTTTGTTTCCTGCAATTAAGAATTCCTCATAAAGATCATGTAATCTTGTAGTCAGATTATTTTACTTCTTCCTTTCCAATTTGGATACCTTTTCTTTCTTTCTTTTTTTTTCTTGCTCACATGCTAAATTGTTTTTAAGAGAAAATACAAATTGTATTTTTAAAAAAGGAATAGTTGATGCAGATTCAGGTAGGCCATGGTGAAAAGTTTAGAATTTACTCTTTAAAGGCAAAGGGAAAGCACTGGAGCGTTTTAAGCTGGGAGAAGATGTGATGGTTTAAGAGTGGATGCAGAAGACTAGCAGAGTGCTACAAAGTGGTCTGATGGATTAATGAGGGCTGGGAGGAGTGGATGAATGGCAGGAATAGAGATGGAGAAAAGTGAATAGCATGGAGTATTTATTTAGGCATTAGAAGTGACAGAATTAGGTGGTGGATTGGATGTGTGGGTGAGAAGGCACAAGAGAGCATTTATAAGGCCATTGTTAGGTTCCTGGCTTGAGCATGACTAAGTGAATTGAGATAATACATATTGTGGTATAGAGATTTCTGTATGCAGAGTCTGAGATGCTTGCTAAATAGCTAGTTCAGAGATGCTACAGAGGAGATTGTGTGCAAATATGGCCATGGAAATACATGCCCAGTAAATAAGTTGACTCCACTTTGAAGGAAATCCAGGACCTTGTTAGTCTAAGCTTTAGTGCATAGGACATGCTCATTTAATGTTTGTATAATGATTTATCACAAAAATTCAACTTATATATTGTAATATATTTAAAGTTAATTATCTTTAATATAGAAATTATATTTTTTAATATTATGTAAGTGATACTCTGTGAGAAGCAGCCATTCTTAATTGAATTGGCTAAATATTATTGATTTACATTATCATTTTATGTCATTCAGCTCTCTTGATAGGCTCGATTGTGGTAAAACCTGCTTTTCTGTTCAAGTCCATAAATACAGAGAAAATAGATTAAAAGACTGCACACAAGTAAAATTAAAGATATTTTTATTTTTCTGGGATGTGGGAAAAGCAGGGTAGGGAATGAGATGTGATGTGACTAGCTACTCAAGAATAAATATAAAACTTTTTTCATAAGTCTGGCAAGCCCTAAAACAGGTAGTCTTTGATGTGATATTATAACTGTAAGAAAAAGCATGTTCTGGATTGGAGAGAAGGAGAGAAAGATATTAAAGGAATGGGAAATGGAAAGCAGTGCAGGAGAAATGGAAAAAGGCCAGGGAGAGTAAGCATTTAGCAGGTTCTGAGTTGAGTATTAAAATGTAATCTATGGGGGCGCCTGGGTGGCTCAGTCGTTAGGCATCTGCCTTCGGCTCAGGTCCTGCTCCGCGGGAAGCCTGCTTCTCCCTCTCCCACTCCCCCTGCTTGTGTTCCCTCTCTCGCTGTGTCTCTCTCTGTCAAATAAATAAATAAAATCTTTAAAAAATAAATAAATAAAATGTAATCTACTCTTGATCCGTTTGAATCCTGAGCTTTCAGAATACATGATTATTTTCCTTTAAAAGTTAATGCTACTTCACAGCTCTTTACTGCTATAAAGTGCCATTCTAATTAGAAGTAGACACATTTAATGTGAATTTGGCTTTCTCATCCCACGACTATATTAAGCTGGAAGTCAAAAGACCCATTATTCTGGTCCTGGTTCTGTCATTAACTGGCTTTATGACCCTAGGAAGTTATTTACTTTCTGTGAGCCTCAGTTTACTCATCTGTCAAATGATGGAGTTACAGAAAATGATCTGTAAAGTCCCTTCTGCTCTAATATTCTATATTTCTTTGGAATCATTTTTGCCCTGAGTGTGGCAGTGGTTTCCCATCATTAAAAAAAAAAAAAAAAAAAAATCTATGTTTTTGAAATTTTACAATATTAACATATATTCTCCTATATATTGAATGAGCAGAGAAATTATTTTGCACAGTTTGTCATTCTAATTTATATGTTGCTATTTGAGATTTTTAGGGACGATTTGAGATTCTATTCAGTATTATCAGTTTTGTTAAATACTTGCCACCTTTAAATAATTTCTTTGCCATAATCCTCAGAATTTGTTGATTATGAGTTTTAGTGGGAGTATTTTAAGTAATTCCCAGACTTTTTATTGCTGGATTTTCTCTTTTGAGAGAATTATTGTATTAGGAAACTAAAGCTATTTTTTAAGTCTATGATTGATTTATAGCGAGAGCAACTAAATTTATTTTAACTTTTTTTTTTAAAGTTTTCGTTTAGAATCTTCCCTGATTTTGGTTTGGCAGCAAACTAAACGGTGAAAAGATACTTGCAATATAATTGACCAAGTGGGATCATGTGATACTAAAAAAAGAAAAGTAATACCCTGTATATGTAAGACATCTAGTCAGAGGCACCACAGAGTTAGTATTTATCTGTATTCAGTCTTTATTCTTTTTGATTTAACATGGCAGGGAGTAGAATAGAATAGAGAGTGGCAGGTACAAAGGTCTAGACTTCAAAAAAAGGATGGAATTTGGGATCCTGTGTTAAAATGCATACATGTTCATGGTTTGAATACTGAGGAGCCATGATTATAGTGTCTCATAGAAGAATCTTCTCACAGTGGGATGCAGTGCAGGTAGATCTAAAAAATAAAAGCCCTAGAGGGTCGCAGATATCTAAAGAAGGAAGAACATCTCTCATTCTCCATCTTTTAACCCACAAATTACTTACTAGACATATCTTCCAGTCTGTTCATAAGTAGAGGAATTGTGTGCTTTATTTAGAGTATTTAAAATTCTATTACTAAAAGCCTTCCAAAGGTTTCAGGCTAGCTATCACCAAGTAAATTTTTAAACATGATTTTCTCATTCTGATAAGGAAAATAGGGAAGAGTTTAAATTTGCACTTGTTAAAATTTAAAGTCTCCTTCACAAATACAAAAAAAATAAATTTTATTTGTAGTTGATCAAACAAGTGTTTGAAGATTTGAACAGAATAGAAATGTATTACGTGTATGTGGGTCTTAAGCAAATGTTGAGGTTTATCGGTTGATGTTTTAAAAATTACAAACCTACAGAAGTTTCAGTAGACTCCCCTCCCCCTTATTTATTTTTCTGTAGATGTTTAATTTGTTCTAAAACATCTATTAAAACAAAGTAGACTTCGCCTTTGTAAAATAAAAAATACATCATCAGTACTGAACACAATTTTAGTTGAATCTCATCTTCTAGAATATCCAGTGGTTACCAGTATAAGTGTGTAATGCCCCAGCACTGCAGATTTCCAGGGATGCTAACTTCTGATATTCAAGAATAAATGCTATGGGGAAAAGAATTTAGTGTAATTTTAATAGCTTGGATTATTAGAATTCAATGCAAAATTATTTTTGTCATAAAGAAGTTAATTTACCTCATTCTAAATGGTACTGTCGGGTAAAAATATTTAATGCAACTTTTAAAAGTTAGCAATATAATTTCCTTTTGCTTATGAAGTCAGGTATTTTATAGTGGCATGACAGTAATAGAAAATTGCAAAGCAAAAAAAAGAGTATTAGTTCCTGTGCTTTAAAAAAGATACTCCTTCTAAGTATTTGTATTGCAAATGAATTATTACCAAATGTTAATAATCTATTTTGTCTTGTTTTTTAAAGTGAATGAATTTTTAGCTTTTGAGGGCCCCATCTTGTTGGATATGAGAATTAAACATCTAATCAAAACCAATCAGTTAAGTCAAGCAACTGCTCTAGCAAAGCTGTGTTCTGACCATCCAGAGATTGGTACAAAAGGTAGTTTTAAGCAAACTTACCTTGTTTGTCTTTGTACATCATCACCAAATGAAAAGTTAATCGAAGAGGTGAGTATGTTTTCTTTTGTTAGTAATTACTTTTAAAAGTGAGTATTTTTAAAAGTGAAGAAGTTAATTTTCAATTAGATTAGAATGTCTTTGACTTCTCTTAGAAAGTGAGGGACTGTTGTCAGTCTTAAATTTTAGTATGCTTTGGGGTAGTGATTCTAAGCAGCTTTCAGAGTTATATGTAAACTGATTTCACCTAGCTTCTTTTTAAAATTGAACCTTTTTACTGCTGTGGTTAAATTATGGGAAGATGGAGGTGGCTTAACAATTTAGTAGGGTGTTTTTATTTGTTAGCAATTGGACCTTAACTTCAGTTTTACCTAACTTCAAGATACTTGTAAATCTAACTGGCTAATTTAAGTAACTATAGAATTTATGTGACTTCCTCCTAAAAATATGTTCTCTGTTTTATACACACACACACGCCTAGCATATTCAAAAACAGAATGTATTCCTAGGGAGAAGTCATATATATATAGCTGGTATCTATATATATATATTAAGATCAAATTTTTATTTGCATATTTAATGTAAAACTTTATTTTTTGTGAGACATGATTTTTTTACTTCTGGTTTGGCATAAAGCATAGTATTCATGTATTTGTTTTATACTACAGAATTCTGAGATAGAGTCATGGTCCAAATGGGAATTTGCATTTTGGAGGACTCGTAATTCCAAAATGAAGTTGGAGACAGGGTAGGAAAATTAAAAGTTGTTGATCAAGAAACAGGGAATATGTATTTAAATAATTTAGATAAAGAAAACTATAATGTGTTGAACAGTTTTGATTGAGCATTTAATGCACACAGTTGTCTTGTATCTCTAATATAAGTATCCTTCAACCCCAGAGCAATAGAGAGAGGAGAAGAAAATGACTGAAGGACACACTTAAAGATGTGTAACAGGAAGAGTTGAGATACAAACCAAGACAATTAAGAGAGCTTGCATGATCAGCTGAGTAGACAGATACTGTAATCAGTCTGGAAGAAGGATAGCCTCAGACAAAAAGCTGAATGCCCACATGAGGTTAGAGTTTGTAATTATAGTGGTAATTGTATGTTTTTGTTTTTGTTTTTTAAGAAAATGAAGAGGGAGATGGTAGGCTTGGACCAAGATTAGAAATAAGGTTGTTGTGGATGGTGAGGATAATGAGAGTACTGGGAAGAGTGATGTCTGGCAATTCTTAGGCTGAATAGAATAGAGCTCAGGGCTGTAGCCTAGGAAATTACATCATTAGTTTAGACATATAGAAGATTGAAGTTTTCTTATTAGTTCAGAATAGCTATGTAGACAGTTAATTGACAGACATATAAAGTTTCTTGAGATAGCTTTTGAAATGTGTTTAACAGTTTTTCTAAAATTCTTAAATTATTGTGTTGCTGCTACCTGTTATTTTTCAGCTCCATAGTAAAGCTTTCTTTATCAGTTCATTCCTTGCCCTTATGTCAGTCTGTCCATTCATCTATCCTCCCTTCATCAAATTTTTATTAAGTCAGTGATGTGTGCTGTCTAAGCACTGGGGGGTTAAATGTGAATTAAGGCATAAGTCTTGGCCTAAAGCAGCTTAGCTTCTAATAGGAAACTATCTAAACATAGGGTCATTAGGCGAAGTCCCTGTTTGAAGTTGAAGACTATGAATTTGTAATCCCGAGGAAAAAATCTGTATTTCTAACTCTCTTGAATAATCAGAAGATCTTGCAGTACTGAACCTAAGTTCCCTTTTGGTTTAATTTTTCAGAGTTGAGTAGCAGCAGCCTAGCTTGCTCTGGGAGATCCTCAGGAAAATTCTGTGTGAGGGCCCCAGGTATCTCTGATGTCATATAAAATGATTTTTTTTCCTTCTTATATTAAGTAAGCAGAAGTAAGGCATTCCATGTTTTTAAGCAGAGTTCACCGAAGTCTCTGTACCCTAGCCCAGAAACAACACTAGATCATAAAGTGCAGAACAGGACAGGATATGTATAAGTCTACACATTCCTTGTTAAAAGTCTTCTTTTGCTTAGAAATTGTTTGGTTACTCTTTTATGTTCCTATTAAAAATATATAGAAACTTTTTCTTCATTGTTCCATGTGAAGTGGGTTAAGATTGGCTGTCACCAAGGCCTGTATTATTTCTGCCCCAGGGGAAGGTAGTCACTTTGTTTGGAACAATTGCCCAAAGATACTGCCCTCTTCGGAAGAGGTATGCTGTCTCTCACACATTCATTTGCTTTTACCTGTCTGGTTCTTATAAGCATTTGACTTTTTTACCCATTCCTTGGTGTATGGTAGGAAGAGATATTGGAAAGAGTCAGCCATGGCCTGGATTCTGTGATCCTTTTGAGGAAATCCTTGTCCAGGGGAGCCAGTAGACAAGGAATCTACTAGGATTTTCCCAGGATCCTTTCACTGTAAGAGAAATAGCAGCTAGCCCTGGTAGATGGCCAAGGAATGGGGCTGAGAGAGGAGTGTTTATCTGGCTTCTCTGGAAGGAATAGCTTGGCCTGTATTCTTGGTATAGGTATAAAACAAAGTGAGCAGTGTTTTAGTATTTTGGATCTGTTTAGAGCCAGTATTTCTATTGGTTTTGTCATTAAAATAAACATAGAATTTTTTTAAAAAGTAAAATCCTCTCTCTCTAACCATCCCTTACCCATTTAATACTCCCCCAAGTAATCATTCAGTTTGAAATTTGATATATAACCTTTCTCATATTTTTCTATGCACATACATGTATTTTTTTTATATGCTTCAAGCATACATATGCACACCCTGACCTGCTGGTCACTTTTTCCCCATTTATTATGGACATCTTTCCATATTGTTCATTTATAAATCAACCTCATTCTTTCTCATGGCTTCATAATTCGATAGTTCGGATTTGTAATATTTTTAGTCAGACTGGGGGACATTTAAACGGTTTCCTTATATATACATCCTTTCATTCTTGTCAGAGGTACACTAGTAGGACAGATTTCTGGAAGCAGAATTGCTGGATGAAGGAGTCTACACATTTTAAATTAATAGATAGAGCCATACTATCATCCAAAAAAGATTATGCCAGTTTATACTCCCATAAACAACAGTATATGAAATTTCCTCTTTCCTAACATTGGAGATTGTCTTTTAAATTTTTGCTAGCCTGAGAGTTAAAAAACAGTAGCTCATGATTTGATTTTATGTTTTCTTAGTATGATAGGGTTACCATTAAGGTTCTGTTTTCTTTTTTTAAGATTGATTTATGTATTTTAGAGAGAGAGCTGGTGGGAGGAGGGGCAGAAGGAGAGAATCTTTTAAGCAGACTCTCCACGGAGCCCAAGCATGACAGAGTGGGCGGGGCGGGGAGGGGCAGGGGCTCAATCCCAAGACCCATGAGATCATGACCTGAGTCGAAACCAGGAGTCCAACGCTCAACCAGTTGAGCCACACAGATGCCCTCTAAGTTCTTTTTTAGTTGGAAAGCAATTTTATGTTGATAAGCAAGACTTCTTAAAATGTGATTAGAGCCAATACATTTTTTTTTTAAGATTTTATTTATTTATTTGAGAGAGAGAATGAGATAGAGCATGAGAGAGCATAGGGAGGGTCAGAGGGAGAAGCAGACTCCCCGCTGAGCAAGGAGCCCGATGCGGGACTCGATCCTGGGACTCCAGGATCATGACCTGAGCTGAAGGCAGTCACCCAACCAACTGAGCCACCCAGGCGCCCGAGAGCCAATACATTTTAAAAGTACACTTGGCAATTGTATAGAGAATATTGATGAAGTGTTCTGTATTTTTTGAATTCATGGTTTGAATTCAAGTATCCATTAGTTTAAATATGGTTTCATTTTCTCTGCCATTCTCCTTAGTGTCCTATTTTTTCGAGAGGACCATCTAGTGGCAAACCAGGGAAATGAAAGCTATGAAGTACACACTAAAAATTGTTTTCCTAGTATACCTATAAAAAGTGAGGTTTTCTGTATTACTGAATATGGCAGATGTTTCACTTGATATTTTGTATATATGTGAAATAAATATATTGAGGCTATTTTACATACAAATACATATTTCTCATTATTAAGTGTAAGCTAATAATGTAGGTAATATCATTGGGAAAATAAGTTTTCTTATAATGTACGCATTTTGCATCATTTGAGCATTCAAGAAGAGTGGCTTAGGTTTTAGAAGAACAACAACAAAAGATCAGATTCAAAACAAATCAGACTTTCAGGATATAAGATTTTTTATTAAACCTGAACATGTAAAAAAATCAGTATTTAGCAATAAAGGGCCTCAATATGCTTATGCATGGGGAATTCTGGAAAGAGCACAGACTTTGAAGCTGCACCTGGGTTAAAATCTTGATTGCCATTAATTAAGTAAGCATGTGACTTTGAGCAAGTTACCTTAAACTCTTTGAACCTTATTTCTAAAAAGTTAGTAGTAGTATCTACCAGGCAAGCTATATGGTTAGCAGTGCTATTTCTGAAGAAGCTGGCACTACTAATAAATAGTAGCTGCTATTATTGTTATTATTAACATGAAAAAATAAAACTTATGGGTTGACTTCTAACATTTGTCTACATGTGTGTATCAGGGTAATTGTTTAAAGTTAACACAGCTTGTAATAAAAGATAATGTGATGAAATTGAAAGAGCATGTTTAATGTCAGACAAAATTTGATTTGTAGCTCTACCACTTAATTAACTGTTGCAGCTTGGTCAAATTATGTAATTTCTTTGAACCCCACATTCATTGTGTATAAAATGTTAATGATAATACCTACCTAGTAGGAAATATATGATTAAAAAAATATGTCTGATAATGCACTTAATGTAGGTATTTGAAAATATTTAATTGTATGATTATATATTGTTCAGCCCTTTTTTTATTTGTTTGAGTGGGGTCTCTTAAAGATTTGTTAGAAAGAGTCAGATGGAGGAGTAATGGAAAGAGCACTGCACCGGGGAATTCCAAGACTTAGGTTTCAGTCTTAACTCTGCCACTAACTTCATGATTCCTGTAAGAAATCATTGTTGTTAAATACACAGACTCAGAGTTGGGTCTTTAGAGTTTTCTAGCCCAACTTAATGTATGAAATGGAACCTCTGAATCTATGCTCATGCAATCTTTATCCTCCTCAAAGATTATCCTCATTTAGTCACTTGTTCATCCTAAACACTTTACATTTTACACACACACACACATACACTTTTCCTGTACTCAAAAGTTGATCAGGAGAGACAGAAGATCAACAAGGAGGGGCATGGTTATCTCTGTGGTACATGGGTGCCAGTGGTCTGTATTGGTCTTCATTTTTTTTCCCCATTTGTCGTTTATACCATGTTGGAATTAATCTTTTTGTGGAACGCCAGTGATTTGTGGTTGTATGCTGTTTGCTATATCCTTGTCTCACAGCAAATGCTTATAGAGATCTGTTTATGTATTAAATGATTGTAATGTGGTAGTAAATTTTAATTTCTCAAAAAATAAGCAGTAGATATACATGTATAATTAAATGAAGAAGTTGCCTTCATCTAGGTTATACTTATGCATGCATGACTGTTGACAGGCTTTGAGATGGAATGAATTTATATGAAAAGAAAAATAATGGAGATTTATAGAACACTGAGGTGAGCTTAACTTAAAGGTGGTATAACTACATAAAATGTTTCATAGTATATTTTTTTTCCCCTCAGATGAATAGATACTTTATTAGTCTATATCCAGTAGACCTTTCTTTGCCTTTCTGCTGATGCTAATGATTTTTAAATTACCAGATAAAAGAGGGAAAATTACAGCTTTTCTTTTTCAGTATCATAGAACTGATTAATGGGTAGAGGGTACTTATAATTAGGATTAGTCATTGCAAATAAGTAAATATTTGTAAAGTTCATGAAAATAGTTGGTTCTCTGACTTGAAGAAAGATTATTCTTTACTGCAGCCCAGTAATGACAAACTATGAATTGATAGTATATGAGTCAATGAGGTTTTACTGATAAAAATGATCTGTAAATATCTAGTGAAGATTCTAAAGTATATTACTGTATATCCTAATAATAAAACCATTTTATGGCATGTTTTCTATATCCTTTTTTCTGTAGATTTCAGAAGTTGATTGCAAAGATGCACTAGAAATGATTTGTAACTTAGAATCTGAGGGTGATGAAAAAAGTGCTCTTGTCTTATGTACTGCATTTTTATCACGTCAGCTCCAACAAGGAGATATGTACTGTGCTTGGTGAGTTGGTTTTATTTTGTAAAGAAAAGTTGTTAAATAAGAATACAAGATAGGTTGTGAGAATTCAGAGAGCTTAAGGACGTATTTTTTAATCCTTTAAAATCTTACCAAAACAAAAAGCTTATTTTCAGTTACTACATGCTGTATAAACTGATTATCAAGTAGTTCATATTATAACTTCAAAATTTTTTTATATTAAGGACAACTCCTTAGTATACCAGTAATGATTGTATAATGAATAATAATGATCAGGAAATTTTTAGATGTTAGAAGATGAAAAAAAGGTTTATTTTGTCTAATGCCACGATTTTTTCAGATATGTAAGCCATCTGTGATTGAATGTGTATATTTTTTTCCTCTGCATTTTACATACTTTTAACTACATAACTAGCTTAGTCATTCATGTATGGAAATACAGTTTATTTTCCATCTGTGAGATATCATTCTATTTCACTAACTTCTTGAGTGCACATTTCTTTATATGGTACATTTTCAAGTGTGCAAAGCCTGTTACATTCTTCTGGGAACATACAACTAATAGAGATGTTGACTTCAAGTGACTCAAAAAATCTTAAGATCAGCTATCTTAATGTGTTAGCTAAAACTGGCAATTTATCTGGTCAGTGAACAGCGTTATTAGTCTTCAGTGTTTTGTTGGTAATATTGGAAACACAAAATTTAGTTTACAACATTCTGACATTTAAGAATTTTTACCAAATGACATATGACATACAAATCCCATGAATATGGGACAGGCAAACTAAATGTGTAATTAAAGAAGAATAAAGTTCACAATTATAAAGGTTTTCTGAGTAGTTATGAGTTTTGTTGTGAAGGGAAAATCATATATGCAGTACACAGAGGATTGATATAAAAGGTGGGTAGAAAGATTCTGAAGGGAGAATAAAAAACATGCATTTACTGAGGAGAAGTAGATTTTCCATGTAACATAAATATTAGTAGTGACTAAAAATTTAACTCTCACACTGCTTTAAAAAAGTCATCAAAGTCTGGATTTCATATCATCAAAGGCCATCTATTATAAGCTCTTAAGTAGGAGGGCAAAAAAATTATGTTTAAGAAATGCTGTGTAATACAAGTACTTGAGAATGGATTGGGGTCTGAACAGTGAGGACAGAGTTGGGGGGAAGAAGTGGCAGGACAGAGTTAAGCTAGAAAAGTCAACTAGAAAACTAGTTAACAGTCCAGCTGGGAAGTTATGAAGGCTTCCTTATGTATGTAGGATGGGTTGAAAAAATGTTGAAGGTAACAGTCTTTAGGATAATAGAAAGCAGAGACTTAATAGGGTCATTGATAATGATGCATTAAATTACAAAGATGGTGAACTGGAAAGAATGTTAATCATCTTTTTCATATATTAAGTTTCAGGTTTCAGAAGAGATCAAAGTGGAGAAGTCTTATAAAGAACTAGAGAGGTGAAAGTGGTCAAGACTGGAGAGACAGATTTTGAAGTCCTCAATATATAGGTTAAAATCCAGTAAATGAGCAAGTTACTCAAGTGGGTGGTGAAAGGGCAGAGTTCCTAGGAGTGCAAACTGAGGAAATAATAATAGGAAAGGCCTGTACTGAGGAGAATACTTGATGAAAAAAGTTGCAGCAAGGAAGAAGATTTTTGTGGAAATTAACCACGGAGGACAGAAGAGAAATAGGACGATAGGTAAAAGGGAGGAAAATTCATCATTTCAGTAGGATTATTTTCTGTGAAAAATAGATTCTAATTGTATTTGAAATAAATTTCGAAGTTCATTTTTCAAAGTGTCTTATTATTTCACCAATTGGACAGAAATTAGTTGTTACTTTTGAGTTCTGTGTCGTCATTGATTGTTAACATTCATCTAATAATAATTTTAAATTTAATTGACCAATTGGTCAGTTTTCAGTTTCAGGTAGAAGATAAAATTAAATGCTTTTAAAAATATACCATTGATCTATATATGCAATTTATATATACACAAACACATTTTGTACTTTATTACATAAATTTCAAATGTGGCTCAATTACCGTTTGTATAACTTGTTTAAATGAGAGGTGCTTTACTAGTAACAGGCAGTGCTTCTCTCTGACATTGAAAAATATTAAAAGAATGATAAATCAAAATCTGATTTTATTTAGTCTCTAAAAAATTGAGAAATATTTTGTATTTTGTATCTAATTTTAATTTCCACATGTAAAATTGGAATCTAAAACCAGTTTTAATTTCAAATGTAATGACTGGACCAACATAGTCCATGATTATTATATTATGACTCCAGCTTATTTTTTATACATTTTTTTTAGGGAACTCACTCTCTTTTGGAGTAAGTTACAGCAAAGAGTAGAACCATCTATACAAGTGTACCTAGAAAGATGTCGGCAACTTTCTCTGTTAACCAAGACGGTATATCACATTTTCTTCCTGATTAAAGTTATTAATTCAGAGGTAAGAATAACCAAGCTATTTTTCTATATTAATTATCTTTAATAAACTATTATTTTGGCACCTCTTCCAGTGACTTTTGTTATTTCATTTAGAGTTTTGAACATTGCTTTTCTTATTAGTCTTATAATAGGCATTTGATATAGAAAAACTTAAAAATACAAATGAGAGCCAGGGGTTTGCTCTTGACCTGAAGAAAAGTATCATTCTACAATTTTTACTCCTAGGTGTTAACACTATTTTGATAATTTGGCTTTGTAGAAATTTAGAAAGTATAAAGAGAAATATAGAGATAGCTTCCTTTACTAGCAATCTGGCAGATTACATTATCTAAAAATCCTTCTTCTACAAAATGCCCCAAAATACTTGATGAAATAAAATAAACATTTCTTTTGATGTATAGCACCTAAGATTGCAAGGGGATTAGGGGAAATCCATAGGCCCGAAATGAAGAGGAACTTAAAAACTGGAGCAGAAAGCTTAAGCTGCTGCTGGGTATTGGGATATGTTACTACTTGCAGTAACTAAGGGGTTTGCGCATTGGGACAGGAGATAGCTTTATGGGGATAAAAGATAAGATTTTGGGCCCTCTCAAGTTGGGGATTGCAGCTGAGCTCTCTGGCCCCCAGGCCCACGTGGGAAGTCCTAGAATTTCATTGAAAAAGTAGACCAAAAAAATACTACTTTTTAATACAGATAGATGATAGGGAAGCTTGTGCATGTCCTACTGGGCTGTGGGTCAGAGAAGGAAAAATGTTTCCCTTAAGAAGTTGTAACCATAGATCTACCCCTCACACAGATTTGGGGTCTAAATTTACCCTATTTAGGGACACCTGGGTGGCTCAGTCGGTTAAATGGCTGCCTTCGGCTCAGGTCATGATCCCGGGGTCCTGGGATCGAGCCCCGCATCGGGCTCCCTGCTCGGCAGGGAGCCTGTTTCTCCCTCTCCTTCTGCCTACTTGTTCTCTCTCTCTGTCAAATAAATAAATAAAATCTTTTAAAAATAATAATAATAAAAATAAATAAATAAATAAATAAATTTGCCCTATTTATATAGTCTAGAAATCCCCATGCCGAGTAAGTAATGTTTAAGAAGGTAAAGAGTGGAGTACTGGGCTGGTAATACCTGGCAGAATGCAGAACTTCTTTGGAGGGACATATACTCAGTGTAGGATCCTCAGGTAAGCCCCGCTTGAGATGAGTTCATGTCAGGAATTATGAAACATGAAACAGTTTCTCATGAGGGAATTTTGGCAGAGAAAAAGAATAGGATTAAATATACAAGGATAGACACTATAAATTATGTATATTTAAATACATAGGGGCCCCTGGGTGGCTCCGTCATTAAGCGTCTGCCTTCGGCTCAGGTCATGATCCCAGGGTCCTGGGATCGAGCCCTGTGTTGGGCTCCCTGCTCCACGGGGAGCCTGCTTCTCCCTCTCCCACTCCCCCTGCTTGTGTTCCTCTCTTACTCTCTGTCAAATAAGTAAAATCTTTAAAAAAAAATAAAGACAAATAAATTTAACCATCAAGATTATTTATACAGCAGGGGCACCTGGGTGGCTCAGTCCGTTAAGCAGCTGCCTTTGGCTCTCAGTCATGATCCCAGGGTCCTGGGATTGAGCCCCGTGTCGGGCTCCCTGCTCAGCGGGGAGCCTGCTTCTCCCTCTCCCTCTGCTCTCCATCTGCTTGTGCTCTCTCTCTCAAATAAATAAAATCTTTTAAAAAAAGATTTGTAAAGCATATGAAACAGTGGCATGAATGAATTTCAGTAGAGAAATAGAATTATTTGCCTAACACTTTAACACAATTATGGAAAGTTCTATAAAATACATATATTTAAAGATTTATTTATTTATTTGAAAGAGAGAGAGAAACAGCATGAGAGGGGAGAGGGTCAGAGTGGAAGCAGGCTCCCGGCTGAGCGGAGAGCCTGATGTGGGACTCGATCCCAGGACTCCAGGATCATGACCTGAGCCGAAAGCAGTTGCCCAACCAACTGGGCCATCCAGGCGCCCTTAAAATACATATATTTAAAGACATAAAATAATTAAAGCATGAGAGAGACACTATCAAAGTGATCAAACAGATTTTAAAGTCAAAAGAACTTTTAGAAATAAACATAGTCATTGAAATGAAAACACTTATTAATAAGTAGATTAAACAGATTAGATAACAAGTGAAGAGGAAAGTGATAAGCAGACGTTGCAAATGTGTTTCTAATTATCTCAATTGGAATCCACATTTTACAGATTTTTTTAAGATTTTTTTATTTATTCATTTGAGAAAGAGAAAGAGAGGGAGGAAGCACGAGCAGGGGAGAGAGGGAGAGGGAGGAAACAGACTCCTCACTGAGCCAGGAGCCTGACACGGGGCTCGATCCCAGGACTCTGGGATCATGACCCAAGCTGAAGGCAGCTGCTTAACGGACTGAGCCACCCAGGTGCCCCAGAATTAATTAATTTTCTTATAGTAACCCTTATAGTATTAATGCAGTTGGTTTCCATTTTAAATGTACACAGAAGACATTTTCCAAAGTTGCTGCCATTGCATAGATAGGGGTGCTAAACAGTGTTTAGAAATCCTTAACATGGATGCAGCATGATGGAGAAGGAGAGAGAAAATCTCCATCACAGGACCCGGAGATCATGACCTGAGCCAAAATCAAGAGTCAGACGCCTAACTGACTGAGTCACCCAGAAACCCCAAGAAGTATTTTTTAATTCATCTGTAATTTTCTTTTGAAAGGAGAGACTGGAGGATACTCTCCTGTCCCCCTTTAAAAGTAACTTTTAAAATCTGTAGTTGGTCAATAAATCTTAAATATATCTTCACTTTTTCTCTTGAAATAATTTTTTTTTTTTTAAGATTTTATTTATTTGACAGAGACACAGCGAGAGAGGGAACACAAGCAGGGGGAAGTGGGAGAGGGAGAAGCAGGCTTCCCGCTGAGCAGGGAGCCTGATGCGGAACTCGATCCCAGGACCCTGGGATCATGACCTGAGCTGAAGGCAGATGCTTAACGACTGAGCCACCCAGGCGCCCCTTGAAATAATTTCTTTTCAGGATAATAGAATTTCTCTTTCAGGAGTAAAGAACAGGAGTGGATTCATCTGCTTTCTAGTTCTTTTTCTACCAACCTTGTTAATTCATTCTGATTTTTCATTTTATATATTGTAGTGCTGTAGTTAAAAAAATGAACTTAATAGTAAATTTCTTAAAAAATAACTGTGCAATTTAAAATATAGGTTGTGCCACTGCTTTATGTCTAACTTGAAGAGCAGTATAGCAAAGTGGAAGGAGCTTGAAACTAGAAGCCAGACAGATTGGGTATAAATCTCGACTTTCTCTTGACCACCTGGTAACTCTAACCAGTTTGTATTTCATTTCTTACTTAGATTAATCAAGGAGATTAGGTAAAAGTGACTCTCCTCCCTCAACCTTAACACCCCTCTCACGAGGAGATTGTGTTGGAGAGGGAAAAACTTGGGACAAGAGCTACACTTTCCATTATGGTAGCCAGTAACCACATTTTAGGTGCTCAGTAGCTCCATGTGGCTAGTGACATATTGAATAGCATAAAGAATACTTCTGTCATCACGGACAGTTCTGTTGAATAGTATCTTTCTGGAGAGATTTTTTTCAGAAGTAAAGTCCATAAAAAAAGCAGTTAAAAGCATGAATAATAGCTTAGAAAGTTGGTCCGGGAGAGCTCACCTATTCACAAGAATAACTTGCAACTTGCTAATTAAGTACTCTGCCCCAAAAATCTTGTTTCCTATTGCAAAAATGTTTTTCCCTTTGTTTTTTACTTTCTGAAATCTGATCAGAGGCTTTCTTTTTTTTAAGATTTTATTTATTTATTTGAGAGAGAGAGCGCACGGGAGAGAGCACAAGCGGTGGAGAGGGAGAAGCAGGCTTCCCATCGAGCAGGGAGCCTGATGCGGAGCTTCATCCCAGGACCCTGGGATCATGACGAGCTGAAGGCAGCTGCTTAACCACCTGAGCCACCCAGGTGTCCCTAGAGGTTTTATCTTAAAACTAGAATCATAGGGGCGCCTGGGTGGTGTCTCAGTTGGTTAGGCATCTGACTCTTGATTTCAGCTCCAGTCAGGATCTCAGTGAGAGGGAGCCCTGATTTGGGGCTCAGTGGGGAGTCTGCTTGAGATTCATTCCCTGTGCCCCTACCCCCAGTGGCATGTGTGCATCACACTCTCAAATAAATAAATATTTAAAAAACAACAAAAAGTAGAATCATAGATTATTATTATTTTAGGACTAAAAGAGACCTTAAAGTTAATGCTCTAGTGACTAGGTTCTGGTATAACTCCTTATTTTTCACATGATGTAATTTAGTCTCAGGGTTAGTGATTTGGGTTAACCGGTAGCCCTCTATGAGAATTCCAGGAACTATTGAAGACTATTGGCCGGTTTATTCATGCTTTTTCCTAGACCCTTGAAATTAAAAGTTGAAAAATACAGCCCTGCCCTTAAGGCTTTCATAGTCTACTAATGGAGATACACAAACAGTTGTAATATGGTACGGGTCTTTCAGTTTTGGTGGAGTGCTAAGACTCCTGTGAGAGCACATTGCTTAGCACAGTGCCTGGTATAAAGTAGTGCTGAATGAATAAAAGAGGTGGGCATTCTAACCCGCTTGTCTGTGTTGACTCTGAGTGAGCGGAAAGTGTTTCTAGTAATAGAAAAAGCATAGAAAGTGGTGTACAGAAAAAAATTTTCTCCTCTTTTCACTACTCACTGAATACTTTGGGTCATCAAATGTGTGGGGATTTTCTCCACACCAAGCAGATCTCTGATTCTGTGGACACCAGCTGGATATCCTACAACTTAAATCTAGCACTGTTTACCTGGAGATAGCACAGTCCCATAAGACTGCCACACGCACACCCCTCTTCAGATGCTAATCACAAGTCCAGTTTGTCACCTGTGCTTCTGACCAACTGGCTAAAATCAAAAGTTCCCACAACCTCCTCCTCAGATTTGATTAATTTGCTAGAGTGTTCACAGAATTCAAGAAGACAGTTTACCTACTAGATTATTGGTTTTATGAAAGGCTACAACTCAGGAAGAAGCAGATGGAAGATATGTATAGGGCAAGGAGCAGTCTGCCTTCCCAGATCTCCACATGTTTACCAGTGCAGAAGGTCCCTGGACCCCCCTTCTTTTTGTGTTTTTAGAGAGGCTTCATTACATAAGCATAATTGATTAAATCATCAGCCACCATTGGCGATTGATTCAGACCCCAGCTTTTCTCCCTTCCTTGGGGGTGGGGGTGTGGGCAAGAGCTGAAAGTTCCAACCCTCTAATCACAGGTTTCTTCCCCTGTCAGCCCCTGTCCGGTGGTTATCTAGGGGATTTCCAAAAATCGCCTCATTAACATAAACTCTTTTGTGGTTAAAAGGGCCTTATTAATAATAGCACCTTTTCACAGTTTAAGGCTCTGGAGCTATTTCAGGAGCTGGGAACAAAAGATGCCCTTACAGCTCTTATCACTTAGGAAATTACAAAGGTTTAGGAGCTATTTGCTCGGAACCCTGGATGAAAACCAAAATATGTATGTATGTATTATATGACAGTATCACAAGTGGTACCAAGACAAATGAGAGAATGGCATATTTGAGGAATTACAGTTAGCTCAGTTTACCTGGTATATAGGCTGTTTGGGTAGGGCAAAAAATAAAAGATGAGTCTAGACCAGATGAGGCATTATTAAAGATTGTGAAGGCCCTTTTGTATTCCCCATTAAGAATATATTTAATTCTGAGGTACAAAGGTAACCATTTAAGAATTTTAAAGCAGGGTAAGACGTGATGCTGTGTGTGGATGGAGAAGGGCTAAATAGGATGTACATGGGAGAACTAATCAGTGTAAGCCTCGGGTAGCTTGGGGCCAAGGATACTAGGCAGTCAGAGGAAAGGAACAGAAAAGTGGGGGGTTACCAAAGATAAAACCTTGTATCTTTCAGAAGGTTGCCTCATGATGGATCATTGTCAGTCGTGGGTGAATCTCTATTCCTCCTCTGAATTTTTAGCACTTAGCTTTCTTCTGCTCCTGTCACTCTTAAATTCAAGTTGGTGTTATCAGTAACTTTTATTAACTAATGATATGAATTAAGTAGATTTTTATAGGCTAATTGCTTAATCAACATATTTATGGGAACTTACTAATTCAAATTCATCTTTAAAAACACTTGTTATATACCTAGCAACAATTTTTAATCACAGAGATGAAAACAAGAATAAAAACTTTGTTATAGTTTTGTTGGCATTAAGATTTCACATTTAATTACAACATTAAGATATTTTTAAAGCAAATTTATTCAAAGCCATTTGCCCTTAATGAGTTGAAATGCACCCTTGAATCCAATAGCAGACTGTATTAGAATAGAACTGTTGAGTTTCTCTCTGAAATAATCTTAGTTGCATTTTATAAACAGTGAGTAGAATTTTTGAATCTGCTTTTGTTGTTTATGAAGGGATCAGCAGTCACATGACAGAGAATAGTTACAGTCCTCTTCCTCAACGCAGATGGCATCCACAAAACCTGTTTCCTGAATCCTTTCTTAAAATCATTTCTTTCTCCATCATTTCCTGAATTCTCTAAATAAATACAGCCTTTTCCAGAATTCTCATTCTGTACATATTTACTAGTCCTTCTGGTATATGTCTACATTATCACTTGAGATCATCTTTATGGTTGACTTGACCTTTGATTTCCCCAAGACGTCCTCTCTCTAATATGCACCTTTCGTCACCACATGTCTTTTTTTCCCCTTCATATTATGACAGTGACCTAATTATCCATTATTAGTAGTAGCCCCTAAGGCATGTAAGAGAGGTGCAGATATTTTGCTGTAAAAGTTTTCTGGCTCAGATTTATCTCAAAATAGTAGAAAATAACTATACAGGTTTGACGTAAAAGCTGGAGACAACCATGTGGTCCCACTTCTTTCCCTGTTGTCCTTTCCTCACTGTCACTTTTAAAAATAGGTCTTATATCTATTCTTGTCCATTTTCTTCTTGGTCTTTGTGCCCTTGCTTTTCCTAAAGTCAGGCCAATTTAGTATCCTCTCCTCACTTTTCCTACTGGCCCACAAATCTAAGCTTCTGTTTTAGTAAAATATTTCATTTCCTTCTTAGCCTGTGAAAATACAGACCCTATCAGCTTTTTTTACTTATTTCTTTTCTGCCTTTGATCTTGTATAATACATATTCCATTCTCATGAATGTAGCCACATCTTAATAGCTGGCTTATTTCTTGTATTTATGTTCTCTTAGTCCTTTTAAAATCCATTTTTATCTCTGTACTACATATATCTTCAAATGACTCTTAACCTTCATTACTGCTATCTTATAATAATAGTTCAAGATACTTATTCAAAAGGAAAAACATTTATTGTGTCTCCTTGTACTTCTAATTTTTAAGATAGTTCAACAGTGAGGTATGTGATTTGGCATTTAGCCAATGTATAATAGAACTAGAGTCCCCCCTATGAAAGATCAAATTACTTTATTCTGTTAAAAATGAAAATCTCCTTTCATTACTAGTAAGTTAGGAAATACAGGAACTTTCTCAGTTCTGTAATTGGATTAAGAGGGTTTTTATTTCAGAAGGATTGTAAATACAAACTTAGGAAATAAGATTGGTGATAAAGTTGATATTTATTGATTATTTCCGTATGTACCAGTACCATTGTACTAAACTATATCAGATACTTTAGATGCATAATACTCATTAATGCTCACAGCAGTTTTATGAAGTTTAAATGCTATTTTGATCTTTATAAGTGGGCTGTGAATGGTTAGAGAAGTTAATAACTTCCAAGTTTGCCTAGCTATATTAGATGACTTTATACCCAGGTCTTCTCTTTGTTCCCAATGCTTATCCTTTTTCTGCTATTCTTTACAGTTCATTTTACACACACATGCATACACAAGGCTAAGCTACAGTGCTTTAGAGGAGGCAGCATTTCATATGTTGCTGCTGCAAAATTTGAGAATAGCAAACGTCAGTTTCAAAATTACTAAATTCACAAACCTGTGTTAGTATAGATTAAATTAACATTTCCTATTTGCTTTTTCACAGACTGAAGGGGCTGGACTTGCCACCTGTATAGAATTATGTGTAAAAGCCCTTCGTTTGGAATCTACAGAAAATACTGAAGTGAAAATATCTATTTGCAAGACCATTTCGTGCCTGTTGCCTGATGATCTGGAAGTTAAACGTGCTTGTCAACTGAGTGAATTTCTTATTGAGCCTACAGTAGATGCATATTATGCTGTGGAAATGCTGTATAACCAGCCAGATCAGAAATATGATGAAGAGAATCTTCCAATACCAAATTCTCTACGCTGTGAGCTCTTACTTGTATTGAAAACTCAGTGGCCCTTTGATCCAGAATTCTGGGATTGGAAAACATTAAAACGACAGTGTCTTGCATTAATGGGGGAAGAAGCGTCTATTGTGTCTTCGATAGATGAACTAAACGACAGTGAAGTTTATGAGAAAGTAGTGGACTACCAGGAAGAGATTAAAGAAACTTCTATGAATGGACTTTCTGGTGGAATTGGTGCTAATTCTGGCCTTCTTAAAGACATCTGTGATGAAAAGCAGAAGAAGAGAGAGATAAAACAATTAAGAGAGAGGGGATTTATTTCTGCTAGGTTTAGGAATTGGCAAGCCTACATGCAGTATTGTGTGCTATGTGACAAAGAATTCCTTGGTCATAGAATAGTACGACATGCTCAAAAACATTACAAAGATGGGATTTACAGTTGCCCTATATGTGCAAAGAACTTCAATTCTAAAGAAACTTTTGTCCCTCATGTCACATTGCATGTTAAACAATCTAGTAAGGAGAGACTAGCAGCTATGAAACCATTAAGAAGATTGGGGAGGCCACCTAAGATCGCAACTACCAATGAGAATCAGAAGACTAATGCTGTGACCAAGCAGGAACAGCGGCCTATAAAAAAGAATAGTCTCTATTCAACAGACTTCATAGTATTTAATGACAATGATGGTTCAGATGATGAGACTGATGACAAAGATAAATCTTATGAACCAGAAGTGATCCCAGTCCAGAAACCAGTACCTGTTAATGAATTTAATTGCCCTGTAACTTTTTGTAAAAAGGGCTTTAAGTACTTCAAAAATTTAATTGCTCATGTAAAGGGGCATAAGGATAATGAAGATGCCAAGCGCTTTCTTGAAATGCAAAGCAAAAAAGTTATTTGCCAGTACTGTAGACGGCATTTTGTAAGTGTTACTCATCTTAATGATCACCTACAAATGCACTGTGGCAGTAAACCATATATCTGTATACAGATGAAATGTAAGGCTGGTTTTAATAGTTACGCAGAGCTCTTAACACACCGAAAGGAACATCAAATCTTTAGAGCAAAGTGTATGTTTCCTAAATGCGGCAGAATTTTTTCAGAAGCTTATTTACTGTATGATCATGAAGCACAGCATTATAATACCTATACTTGTAAGTTCACAGGTTGTGGTAAGGTTTATCGTTCTCAGAGTGAGCTAGAAAAGCATCTGGACGATCACAGTACTCCTGAAAAAGTGCTGCCTCCTGAAGACCAACATACTTCATCTGGAGATTGTGTTCAGCCTTCTAAAGTGAATCCGAACACAGAAGTGAGCATCAAGAAAGAGGGGTCTGTGCTTCCCTCAGAAAATAATATTGAAAACACCTTACCGGCAGATAGAAGTGATGCTTGGGATAAAAGCAAAGCAGAATCAGCTGTGACCAAACAAGACCAGACTTCTGCATCAGAGCTCAGGCCAGCTGATGGACCATTGTCAAATGGTTTGGAAAATCCTGTGACTACTCCTCTGCTTCAGGCCAGTGAAGTAGCTGTATCCATTAAAGTGTCCCTCAATCAGGGGATGGAGGATAACTTTGGAAAGCAAGAAAACTCAGCTGTGGAAGGCACTGCTGAATCACTGGTCACAGACTTACGTACACCAGTTGGAGATACTTGTAATGATTTGTGTCGTCCAGGTTTTCAAGAAAGAAAACAGGATTGCTTTAATGAAGCCCAGATTACTCAGAATTCTTTAGTAAATTCAGAAACCCTCAAAATAGGTGACCTTACCCCACAAAACTTAGAAAGACAAGTGAACAACCTGATGACCTTTTCTGTGCAAAATCAGGCAGGATTTCAAAACAGTTTACCATCTTCCAAGTTTGAATGTGGAGGTAATGTTAAAACATCATCCAATCTTTATAATTTATCTCTTAAGACATTGGAAAGTATCACATTTGTTCCACCACAGCCCAACCCAAGTAGTTCTTTAGGAACTCCATCAGTGCCTCCAAAAGCGCCAGTTCAGAAATTCAGTTGCCAGGTTGAGGGATGTACTCGAACCTATAATTCTTCACAGAGTATTGGGAAACACATGAAGACAGCACACCCTGACCAATATGCTGCATTTAAAATGCAGCGCAAAAGTAAAAAAGGTCAGAAATCTAACAACTTAAATACACCAAATAATGGAAAGTTTATTTATTTTTTGCCATCACAGGTGAGCAGCTCTAACAATGCATTTTTTACACCACAGACCAAAGCCAACGGGAATCCTACTTGTTCAAATCAGTTGCAGCATGTCTCGCCTTCCATTTTTCCAGCTCATTTAACAAGTGTGTCAACTCCACTGTTGCCCTCAGTGGAAAGTGTCATAAATCCAAATATACCTTCTCAGGATAAAAATGAACAAGGTGGTGGTATTATATGTTCCCAAATGGAAAATTTATCTACTACTACCTTGCCAGCACAAATGGAAGATCTAACCAAAACAGTTTTGCCTTTGAATATTGACAGTGGCTCAGATCCTTTCCTTCCTCTACCTGCAGAAAGTAGTTCAATGTCTCTTTTCCCTTCACCAGCAGATAATGGGGCTAATTCTGTTTTTTCCCAACTGGAAAATAATACAAATCATTTTTCCTCACAGATTGAAGGAAACACTAATTCCTCCTTTCTAAAGGGAGGTAATGGTGAAAATGCAGTTTTTTCTTCACAAGTCAATGTTGCAAATGACTTTAATAGCACCAGTGCCCAACAGTCTGCACCTGAAAAGGTTAAAAAAGACCGTGGGCGGGTCCCAAATGGGAAGGAAAGAAAACCCAAGCACAACAAAAGGGCTAAATGGCCTGCAATTATCAGAGATGGGAAATTTATCTGTAGCAGGTGTTACAGGGCTTTTACTAATCCCAGATCTCTGGGTGGACACTTGTCTAAGCGATCTTACTGTAAACCACTGGATGGAGCAGAAATTGCTCAAGAACTTCTACAGAATAATGGACAGCCTTCTCTTCTTGCCAGCATGATTCTCTCCACAAATGCAGTAAATTTGCAGCAGCCGCAACAGTCTGCCTTCAGTCCAGAAGCATGTTTTAAAGATCCATCATTCCTGCAACTTCTTGCTGCTGAAAATCGCTCATCAACATTTTTACCAAATACATTTCCTCGGACTGGTGTGACTAGCTTTAGTACCAGTGTTAGTCAAGAAGGAAGTGAAATTATTAAACAGGCTTTGGAAACTGCTGGCATTCCCAGTACATTTGAGGGTGCCGAAATGCTTTCTCATGTTCCAACAGGTTGTGTTTCAGATGCAACACAAGTAAGTGCAACAGTGATGCCAAGTCCAGCTGTGCCACCCCTGTTGCAGACTGTATGCCACCCAAACCCCCTGCTGACAAACCAGAATAGGACCCCAAACTCCAAAACTTCCTCCATTGAGGAATGCAGCAGTTTGCCTGTTTTCCCAACAAATGACTTACTACTGAAGACTGTTGAAAATGGTTTGTGTTCTAGTTCATTCCCTAATTCTAGTGGGCCATCACAAAATTTTACCAATAACAGTTCACGTGTTTCAGTTATAAGTGGTCCTCAGAACACGAGGTCTAGTCATTTAAATAAGAAGGGAAACAGTGCTTCGAAGAGAAGAAAGAAAGTTGCTCCTCCCCTAATTGCACCTAATGCTTCCCAAAACTTGGTAACAAGTGACTTAACAGCAATGGGACTTATAGCAAAGAGTATAGAGATACCAACTAGTAACCTCCATTCAAATGTAATTCCAAATTGTGAGCCTCAGGGTTTGGTGGAAAATCTAACACAGAAATTAAATAATGTTGACAGTCAGTTATTTATTACTGATGTGAAAGAAAACTTTAAAACCAATCTTGAGTCCCATACAGTGTTAGCTCCTTTAACATTAAAAACTGAAAATGGTGATTCCCAAATGATGGCTTTGAATTCGTGCACGACTTCAATAAATTCTGATTTGCAGATTTCTGAAGACAATGTTATACAAAACTTTGAAAAGACTCTTGAAATTATTAAAAGTGCTATGAATTCTCAAATACTTGAGGTAAAAAGTGGATCTCACAGTGTTGGTGAAACATCACAGAATGCGCAAATAAATTATAACATTCAGCTTCCTTCAGTAAACACTGTACAAAATAACAAGTTACCTGATTCTTCTCAGTTTTCTTCCTTCGTGGGTGTCATGCCAGCAAAAAGTAACATTCCTCCGTCTGAAGTATTACATAAGGAGGATCAAATACAGGAAATTTTAGAAGGCTTGCAGAAATTAAAATTAGAAAATGACCTGTCCACTCCAGCACCCCAGTGTGTACTAATAAATACGTCAGTGACACTGACTCCCACTCCTGTTAAACCAATTCCAAATGTCACAGTTGTTCAGCCAGTTTCTGAAATGATAAGCAACATTCAGTTTAGTGACAAAGTTAATAAACCGTTTGTGTGTCAAAACCAAGGCTGTAATTACAGTGCTATGACAAAGGATGCTTTATTTAAGCACTATGGTAAGATTCATCAGTACACTCCAGAGATGATTCTTGAAATTAAGAAGAATCAGTTGAAATTTGCTCCATTTAAATGTGTAGTACCTACCTGTACAAAAACATTTACAAGAAATTCTAATCTCCGGGCGCACTGTCAGTTGGTCCATCATTTTACAACAGAAGAAATGGTAAAGTTAAAAATAAAACGGCCTTATGGAAGAAAATCCCAGAGTGAAAATTTGTCAGCCCCACGAGTTACACAAGTAAAAAGACAGCTAACTATGACAGAGGAAAATAAAAGGGAATTGCAGCCCGCTTTAGACTTGGGAGCAATGAAGGAAAATGCCTTTGGTAATGTAGCAGTGATCCCAGAAAAACAACTTGTAGAAAAAAAAAGTCCTGAAAAAACAGAAAATTCCTTGCAAGTGATCACAGTTACTTCAGAACAAGGTAATACAAATTCTCTCACAAACATACAAACCAAAGGACGGAAAATTAGGAGACATAAAAAAGAAAAGGAGGAGAAAAAACGCAAGAAGCCAGTTTCTCACTCCCTTGAGTTTCCAACAAGATACAGTCCCTACAGACCTTATCGGTGTGTTCATCAGGGTTGTTTTGCAGCTTTTACTATACAGCAAAACTTAATTCTGCATTACCAGGCTGTACACAAGTCAGATCTACCTGCATTTTCTGCAGAGGTTGAAGAAGAAAGTGAAGCTGGTAAAGAAAGTGAAGAAATTGAAACTAAACAGACTGTGAAAGAATTTCGATGTCAGGTGAGTGACTGTTCTCGAATTTTCCAAGCAATTACTGGCCTGATACAACACTACATGAAACTTCATGAAATGACTCCTGAGGAGATTGAAAGTATGACTGCTTCTGTGGATGTCGGGAAATTTCCATGTGACCAGTTAGAGTGTAAGTCTTCATTTACCACATACTTGAACTATGTTGTTCATCTTGAGGCAGATCATGGAATTGGGATAAGGGGAAGTAAAACTGAAGAAGATGGCATATACAAGTGTGACTGTGAAGGATGTGACCGTATATATGCAACTCGGTCAAATCTCCTCCGACACATTTTTAATAAGCATAATGACAAACACAAAGCTCATTTGATTCGGCCAAGAAGATTAACACCTGGTCAGGAAAATATATCAAGCAAAGCAAACCAAGAAAAGACAAAGTCTAAGTATCGGGGGACAAAACACAGATCTGGAAAGGAAGGAATCAAAATGCCTAAGACGAAACGAAAGAAAAAAGATAATTTAGAGAACAAGACTGCAAAAATTGTGCAGATTGAAGAAAATAAGCCTTATTCTCTGAAACGTGGAAAGCACGTATATTCTATAAAGGCTAGAAATGATGCCTTATCTGAGTGTACAAGCAGATTTGTGACCCAGTATCCATGTATGATAAAAGGGTGTACATCAGTTGTTACAAGTGAAAGCAATATAATTAGACATTATAAATGCCATAAATTATCAAAGGCATTTACATCACAACACCGTAATCTTCTCATTGTCTTCAAACGGTGTTGCAACTCACAACTAAAGGACACTTCTGAGCAAGAAGGTGATAAGAGTGATGTGAAAAATTCTGACACATGTGTATCAGAGAGCAGTGATAACTCCAGAACAGCTACAGTTCCACAGAGAGAAAGTGAAAAAAATGAGAAAGATGAAATGGATGAGCTAACAGAATTATTTATTACAAAATTAATAAATGAAGATAATGCAAGTGTGGAGACCCAAGCTCATACCTCTTCAAATGTAAGTAATGATTTTCAGGAAAATAACCCCTGCCAGTCAGAAAAACAAAAAACAAGTAATTTGAAGAGAGTTAATAAAGAAAAAAATGTCTCCCAAAATAAAAAGAGAAAAGTTGAAAAAACAGAACCAGCATCGGCAGTTGAGTTAAGTAGTACGCATAAAGAAGAAGAAACTGCTGTTGCAATTCAAACCACGGAGGAGCATACTGCATCTTTTGACTGGAGCTCATTTAAACCAATGGGATTTGAAGTATCATTTCTGAAGTTTCTTGAGGAGTCTGCAGTGAAGCAGAAGAAAAATTCTGACAAAGACCATCCAAATAGTGGAAATAAGAAAGGATCCCATTCAAATTCAAGAAAAAATACTGATAAGACTGCTGTGACTAGTGGAAATCATGTATGTTCTTGTAAAGAAAGTGACACCTTTGTACAGTTTGCCAATCCATCACAGCTTCAGTGCAGTGATAATGTAAAAATTGTTTTAGACAAGACTCTTAAAGATTGCACTGAACTTGTGTTAAAACAACTTCAGGAAATGAAACCTACCGTCAGTCTGAAAAAACTTGAAGTACATTCAAATGATCCAGATGTGTCTGTTATGAAAGAAATTAGTATGGGTAAAGCCACAGGTAGAGGGCAGTACTGATAACTAATGTACTATAAATACATTATTTACGGTTTTATTTTAAGTAGGAAGCCATCAAGCATGCTAGAGTTGTGAAACTTTCTCATTAATTTTTGTTGCTGACGTGAATTAACCTGGCCAAAAAGAAAAAAAAAAAAAAACACATGACATTTGTCATGTAAAACTTTTTTTTTTATCCCTATGGGACTTGAGGAACAGAATCAATACTTCAGTTATTGTAAATAGTTGAGCTACACCTCAAATTTCTATCAGCCAGTTCCCCTTTCCATGAACTAAATTGAATTATCTGTGTGATTGTTACGTTTCACCAGGTCACTGCTCATGTAGAACAGTAGTCTGTAGATATCTTTTTTGTACATATTTATTACTGTAAATCATTTGCTGCCACCAGCAGTGTGTAAGTCTAAACTATTAAATGACACATTTATATTTGGAATTTTAATTTTTAACTAAGTGATCAAGTTTTTAAAACTGTTCTTTTATTGTTTTAAATTAAGAATTTTTTGAACTAAAAGTAGAAACTCTGCCATGGTTCATTGATTTTTTACATAAAACATTTATTTACAAGATGATCTCAAAATTACTTTTCACAAAGTAGGCACATTATATCAACACCTTGCTCTGCTTTGTAAATTTATCCTCCAGGATTTTGGGATGGTATTCATGTGAAATTATAGCAGATTCTTTAGCAGTTTCCTATAGCTACAGGTTTTTTTCAGTGCTTCTAATTGGATATAGTTACTATGATTCCATGAAATATAATGGAAATGTGAATAAAGAATTTACTACATCAAAGATTTTAAACATTTGGTATTAAAAAAAAAATCCTTTGTGAATGTGATAGAAACTAGTAGTGTGGAGCAGTGTAAATATTTGAGGTGGTGATTTGTGAAGTAGCCCAGTATTGCCTTAAATAAAATCACATTTCATTTCTTGTTTTATACATGTGATCTTATAAAGTTTTTTTTTTTTTTCCATTTTCTGAGATTTATAGATTGGTGTATAGCTTTAAACTGTATAAACTTTTGTGGAAAGATTTTTTTAAACATTTTTATAAATCTTAAAATTGGTATCATCAAAGTGAGCCCATCTTGTGTTTATAAAATGCAAGAGTCCTTAACATTTATAATTACATAGATGAAACACTTTCTATAAGGAAGTTGGATGTTTTGATTTTACTGTTTATAGATGTTAGATTGTACAGATTTGTATTTTCCCACCACATCTAATGATACTTTTTTCATTAGATTGGTCTTCCAGAGCAGTATTAGTTGTTATAATTGATTATTTTGGTTATTCAGTATATAGTTAGCTCTTATGGTTTAGCTTTATTCACCATATTTATACTGTGGATTCACGGCAGAGATAGAGGTTATTGCAGGAGAGTTTATTACCTTCATTTGAAGTCCAACTAAAGTCAGTACTGGAAACAAAAGAAGACATCTTTTGAATTTACTTTTGTTTCTGTTTGCCATAAATAGTAGCATTGATTTTTGACTTTGTGTTTGTTATAAACCAGTTGCATTCACAATATTATTAGCCTGAGATATTGACAATGTTGTAATAATATGAAAATGTGTATATTCCCTGTGCAACATCAGATTTGCAGGAAAAATGAAGCACTTAACTGAAATTGCTGGTACTCTGAATAAATAAGCATGGTCAAGGAGTGAATTATTTTCTTTTGGAAAATATTTTTTTAAGTTTTATTAAAGTATTATAGTTTTATTTTTAGGGCCTAATGGGTTATATTGAATAGTTGGTTTCACCTCCTTAAGGTTTATTACCAATATGCATAAAACTTGACACATTAAAATCCCTTCCCTTTGGTAAGCCCACTGTTATTTATTAAAATAAAAGTTGTTCTTATGGGTAATTAATACATGTTTTTTTCCTAAATTAACAATAACTTAACTCTGAATAATTTTAATATTAAATTTTTGTTAACAACTGAATGTTTCCGTACAGTTTTCTTGGAAGTTGACCTAGTTCTTAAAGATAGGCATTTGGCAAAACTGCCCTAAACAGTACAATAGCAAGGAGATTTATTTCTGGTAAATGTAGTGATGAGCTACCATTAAGTGAAAATACCATTGTATTGGGGCTTTTCTTTTGCTCGTTAGCTCAAGAAAATTGACCCTTAGACATTTCTGTATTCTACATATCAGGAGAAAGTTTGCCAACACTGAATTTTTTTTATATTCCAGGTACTGTTTGCTAAAAGTAATTATGGCAGAGTGGGCTTTTTAGCATGGAACAAAAATCAAGTTATGGTATAAAATACTAATTTATAGAACAGCATGTTGGTAAAATTTGATATGGAATGTAATGCCTAAGTATTAAAAATGTAATCTTAAAGTATATATTTTTCATGTATACTTTTCCTCAGTCTATTGTCTTGAGATACTTTCTTCCTACAGCCTTAGTTTGCCTAGGTTTTATCATTTAAAAATGGACTTTTTTTCCCTCTTCTAAACCCAAAGAATTTGAATCTACAGATCAGAACGTATTCAAAATGTATCGGGAAGTGAAAAGGTAACAGTTTGGGAGATTTTCAGCAATGTTAAATTCAGCATAAATTATTTTAAAGGGCTAGACAGAGATCGAGTTTTGGCAAGGCAATTTTTTCATCACTGGGTAAGCAAACAGTTGCTGTAGCTATTAAGATTACATAAATACTCATAAATACTATAGCTAGAGATATCAAAGAGGGAATGCTCTATTGCAGGGGTGGGTGTTTATGAAAGTCTGTAGAAAAGTGATTCGTGAAAGATGAATGACCAGTCCTTGGATGGTCATAGGGGAAACGAATTCTAGGTATGGAGGTATGATGAAGCAGCATAGTGCATTTGCAGTATTGCAAGTGGTTTATGTGGAAAGATACGGGGTTGGAGAAGCTGAAGAGGAAATGAGCCAGATCATGAAGGTTCTTGTATGCCATATAGTTTTCAGTTTTGATTTATTAAGTGGTTACTGAATGCATTTAAGTTCAACAGTTTCACCAGATGCCAATTTTAGAAAGATGATTGGTAGTATATAGAGGATAGATTGGATAAGTTGGAAGTTAAAAGCAGGGAGACTTGAGGCAAAAAATGGTGGGGGCCAGGAGAAAAGATGTTAACAGAGTTGAGAAACAGTAAAACAGTAAGGCAACCTTTTTCAAAATGTTTATTGTAATGAGTTACTACCAGGTTGGAACTTCCGTCATCAAAGTTTTCTAAACTGCATGTTGTAGCTCACTCTTAAAAGAATCCAGTGCACAGCAGTATATTAAAGACTGAAAGTTCTGTGCAGAGAACATGTTAACTGTTAAATGGGAATTTTTCAGACTTAACTGACAATGAAAATATTTTTCTTTTTTAATGTTAATACTCAGATATATCCTACTAAGTGTTCTAAGGAGCACATTTTAGGAAACACTCCTCTGAAATGGCATTCATTAAACCAGGGCTGAGAATCAGCAGGTGTGTGCACCAGTGCAGCATGTATCATCTGTTTACAAGTGGTGATTTTTCTGATTGGCCAATTTATCCATTCCAGTTGATAAGTTTCACATGTCTTTTTATACCAGTTTTTAATTTTATATTGTTTATTATCTGTGCCTCCCAACACTACCTACCTCTCAGTGAACAAAATGATCGTATCTGCTTTATTTCTCAGTGGTTTTGCTCAGTAGAGGTGCTTCATTTCAGTGATCTGCTCTCCATAAATGGGAGCCCTACGTGTATCACTTTCATATTTGGAATTCAGATTCCCTTTGTCCAGCCACAAACTGCTAGCTCACCTGCTTGGGATATCTCCACTAAAAAATACTTCTACCTCATCTCAACTAGTCAGTTAATCCTACCACCTGCTCATTATTCATCCGCTCACCCTGTCCTCAACTTGTCCTACTTAGAGACTAGATCCAGCTGTTACATGCACTCCTTTGCAGGTATCCTCAGATCATGCCCCTCTATCTGTCGTGATCTAGAACAATTTCAAAACCTGTCTGCCTTTGAGCAGTTGAGTGGGAGGAAATTACTACAACAGGCAAGTTTATAATCTCAAAGAGACTCAAAACTGGCAGTTTTTCTGCAGTGTTACTGTAATACCTTGCTTCCACAAACTTAAATGATTTCCACGCTTTTTTTTTCCAGTTTTCCTACTCCATCAATGCGCTTTTAATCACATTTGCTGAGAAAATAGAAAAACGTGACCAGAATTTTCTCCACTTTTCACCACCAAATTTATAAGCCCATCTACAGATCTGCACTCTTACCAAAAAGCAATCCTTCCTCACCTCAAAAACTTTGAATTAGCTACTCTGTTTTCATGAAACTTTCTCCTACTAGATCCTTTCAACAGTCTATATATGTGCCCTAGTAGTTACTATTCTTAAAAAAGGGGGGTGGGGGGCGCCTGGGTGGCTCAGTCGTTAAGCGTCTGCTTTCGGCTCAGGTCATGATCCCAGGGTCCTGGGATCGAGCCCCGCATCAGGCTCCCTGCTCCACGGAAGCCTGCTTCTCCCTCTCCCACTCCCCCTGCTTCTGTTCCCTCTTTCGCCGTGTCTCTCTCTCTCTCAAATAAAATCTTTTTAAAAAGGGGGGGGGCGGATATGGGGAGGGTAATTCCATCTAACTATAATCCCTTTTATTTGGTTCCCATCAGAGCTAATCTGAGTTGTCAAACATTCCATTTCTTCTCATTTAATCCCACTTTATATATCATATCCCACAACTGTTCCGAAAATTGCTTTCATCAGGATCACCATTCTTTTCCATGCTGCCATATCTGTTCTTTTTTTTCTGCTCATTCACTGCCTTAGGAGCATTCATCAGGGTAAATGACTTACTCTTGGAAATGTTCTCTCTTGGTTATCTTACCTTTCCTGGCTGCTCCATCACTGAGTCCGACCCTGTTTCCTCTCCCAATACCTGACCTTGGCTTATTGTATATGTGTCCACTCTCTCTCTGGATGATTTAGTCCATTCTCTGGCGTTCAGTATGAATGTACCATCACACGCAAATTTATACCTCTAAGACCAAACTGTTCATAGTTGCAGGCTTGTAATTTCAACTGCCTACCTCAGAATTAAACATAACACCCCAAATCATTTCTTTCCCTACCCCACCTTCAATCTGTTCCTCTCCCAGTATCCTTATCTGGGTAAGTGAAATCATTTCCTAGATTTCTCAATCCAGGTTCTCTAACATCATCATGGTAACCACTTCACACCCTTTCTCTATGTTTGGTAACAAGTATAAGCATTTTTACCTCAAGTGAAAAGGAACCCACTTCTTATCCAAATCATTTCTTGCCTAGACCACTGTAATATTCTTATGAGCTTTCTTCCAAATATTCCCCACCAAAAGTTAGGTTAATTTTTTTTAAGTAATTTTAGTTTGTGGGGAGTGGGTGGAGAAAAAATTTTTTCTTCACATTGCCCTTTGAATAAAATAAGGTGTTTGTTTTACTATGATGCCTGCCTATCTAAATACAACTTGTTGCTCTCCTTTGCCCATTGTGTTCTAGCCACATTGCTTTCTCTTGAGTTCCTCAAGCCAGGCTCTTTCACATCTCAAGGTCCTTGCACTAGCTGTTCTTTCGCTTGGAATGCTATATTTTACTGTGTACTCACTCACTCATTCTTTAGGCCTTAGGCCTCAGCCCCGTTATCAGTTACTCCATTGCACCATTCAACTTTCCTTGATAGCATTTATCAGGTTGTAATTGCTTTTTATTCTGTGCCATGGAACAGTCCGGTACCTTGCACATACTACATACTTAGTGGTAGTAAAAACTTCTTGAATGCTTAAATGGGAGATAAAGAGAACTTGATTCTGACTCTCCTGGAGCTCAGAGTCTACACAATTACTATAATTATTAGTGCTAAGGGCATTATAAGAATATATAATAGAGTGAGAATTTGGTGCTATGTAGTCTGTGGTGAGGGAAAGAAGTTAATAAAGATTTCTCTAAAGGCGGTAAGGGGAGGGAAGTTAGAGAAAACTCCAGGCTGGTTTTAAAAGTTCATTCTGGTGAGGGAGTGTTCCAGTGGAAAATTCAAGGAGACCAGTTAAGGAGGCTAAGTTGTCCAGGGAAGAACGAATACTGTCTTGAAGAGTGGTGATAGCTGAAGGAGAAAAGTGGACAGACTTGAGAGATCTAGGATATTTGACAGGACTTGATCATTATAGGTTATGGGAAAAGAGGAAGAGGATAGAAATTGAGAAAATTTACAGGTTTTTGGTTTGAATAAATGAAGAAATGTTATTTAGGTAGGTGAGGATAAAAGAGCAGTTTTGTGAGTTGATGATTGCCTAAGGGAAGAGTATAGAAAAGGATCCAGGACCTAACTCTGAGAAACTCAGAATTTCCAAGTAGATAAGAGAGAAATAGGAAAAATCATGAGACTTGTAGGATGAACTATTTCAAGGTGTCACATTCTCCTGAGATAAGGAAATTGTAAAGTATCCTTTGGATTTAGTGGTAAGAAAGTAATCCGTGACCTTTGCAATTACTTAGTTTGAGTGGAGTCAGTTGGAGAAGTGTAGAAAGCAAGTGTAAACACCTATTTTTGGTGTTTTATTGAAATGAAAAAAGGACTGATAAAATAGTTGCTAAAGAGTGTCATGGAGTCCAACCAGTTTTTCATTGTATAGACAAATTGAGCATATTCAAGTTGCATTGAGAAGGATTTGGTAGAGAGGAGGGGTTAAGATGTGAAAAATAGGGGCGCCTGGGTGGCTCAGCCGGTTAAGCTGCTGCCTTCGGCTCAGGTCATGATCCCAGGGTCCTGGGATCGAGCCCCGCATTGGGCTCCCTGCTTGGCTGGGAGCCTGCTTCTCCCTCTCCCTCTGCCTGTCTCTCTGCCTACTTGTTCTCTCTCTCTGTCAGATAAATAAGTAAAATCTTTAAAATATATATATATAAAGATGTGAAATATAGCATATGTTGTAAAATTCTTAAGTTTTAGCTTGGGTAATTGTGAATGGTGACGCTGTTTGCCAAGGTAATATAGAAGGAATAGGGCTGGAAGAAAGGTTAATACTGAGTTTGAGGTTCTTATAGGTCATTAAGGCAGAGAGGAATAGTGATCAGTTCTTTATAGGGGTCTGAAACTACAGTTGTGGACTTTAATCCCTTGAGTGCAAGTATTTTGGTTTCTGTCTCATCAGCATTTTGCTCAATCTGAGATACAGTGAGCACTTACTACACTTTGCTGGAATTGAAAGCAATAGCAAGCATGTAAGGAAAGATAAATCACCAAGGAGAGAACCCTGAGGAACACCAACACTTAGTGGGCAGGAAAAAAAGAAACTAGCAAAGAAGACTTGGAAAGGAAGGTTTAAGTTAGGTGAGACCAGGAATGGAGGTAAGGGTGTGGGGCATTATGGAAGCTGGAGGAGAATATTGAGGGATAGTTGGTCCTGTATTGTGCCACTGGGAGATCATTAAGAATAAAGAGGCTACTAGAATTAATCTTTGGTAGTCATTGGATCTTTAAAGAAGTTTTGGTGGATGCCAAGTAATGTTTGTTTAGTTATTATATTCAATTGGTGAATGAGCTAAAGAAGTCAAGGCAATGAATTATTTAAGTATCTTGCATGACAAAAGGAAATTGGTCAGTGCTTTCCGTTATTTGAGAGATTTTAAGATGAGTCTTAAAATATTTGTGGATTCTGGGGACGTACCTGTTAAAGAGGTCAAAGTTTGAGTAGTAGATGGAACCTGGTCTTAAGAATGCAGGTTAGAAATACTAGCCTTACACAATTAAAAATGACCTCTCTTAGGCTTGTTTTTGTGTGTGTTTGTTTTTTAAGATTTTATTTATTTGACAGCACAAGCAGAGGGAGAGGGAGAAGCAGGCTCCCCACTGAGCAGGGATCCTGATGTTGGGCTTGATCCCAGGACCCTCGGATCATGATCTGAGCTGAAGGCAAACGCTCAACCGACTGAGCCACCCAGGCACCCTACTCTCTTAGACTATTGTTAAGTAGAAATGTTGAGCTCCTTGTCATGAAGAAAGGAAACAGAAATGTACAGGATAGCAAGCCTTGGAAAAGTAGGAAACCAAGGTTTAAATGGTAAAGGTTTGAGTTGAAGAATGCGGGAAGGAGCTCAGTTGCAGGTATAAAAGGATTACTGATCAGCATTCAATGCACAGCTGAATTGAGAGCATGATCTTGTAGTGGCACCATCTGTATGATTATGTACTATTTCCAGTACTGTTCTTCAGCTTGAATGGAGGAGAAAGAGGAGGTTGGATAGTCCTGGCAGGAGTAAATACATCAATGAATTGAGCCCAATTAGAGTAGGAAATAAAGCCAAAAGGACTGAAGAGAAGAGCGTGGTCAAGGGACTAGAGGTCTTTGTGGCACCAAAGAAAGGGCATAATGGGAATAAAGCCAAGATTTAGATATGAAAGACCAGGGCATTGAAATGTAAGATTTTAGGAGTAATGCAGCTTGCATTGTTTGGAAATGGCTGTAGTAGATCGCTGAATTAGAATGTAGATGAAATTTACTGGAGTTGAAAAATTTAAAGAATTTTTGTCTAATTTATTGAATGGACTGTGTACAGAAGATATCCCTAGTAGAACTGGGTATAAGGAGACAGAGTCAAGTGCTGAAGTCCTTAATTAAGAGGTTTGTCAGGGAGAATGCTTCCAGGCTATGTGGGACATGTAAGGATTTGGGGGAAGTAGTTTCTTGTATCCTCTTGGCCCAGAAGTCTTGGGAGATCCGGATTCAGTTAAGGTTTCAGAATACAAATTTGTGAAGTAGCAAACAGCTCTAGAGATAACTCTTTAAAGAACATAATAGAATTGAAATGCTTAAGCAGAAGTCAGGGGGAGGAATTAGAATAGTAAGAATGGAGATAGTAGGGAGAGGGCATTTATAGTGACCAAGAAGAGAGAGAAGCTTTGAATACTTCAAGACCAAGACTACAGTCTAACAAGAATCTGCTGTTTCTAGCTCTCCCAGGCCTAGTCCCATGTATCAGATCTGCTAATGATAGTAACAGTTAATATTTGTTGGCTGCTACTATGTGCTAGACTGTGCTTAAGAGCTTTCCTTGTATTTCCATTTATTGTTACATCAATTCTTAAGTGCTCATATTCTCATTTTAAAATGAAATTGAATAAGATGAGGAAAGGCTAAGTATCTTGCCTAGTATGTGGCATAGCCGAGAGTTGAAACTATGTTCATTGACTCCAGAGCTTGTATATGCCTTTATTTGGAAAACATAGGCTGCCAAATGAAGTAACAAGTTGCTCGGTGTCTTTATTTGGAATGATGTAAAAAAATGTCGTGGTAGCTGAAGAGAATTCTCCCCCAGGCGATTAGTATATGATTCGTAAATGGTATTTTTAATGTTATATACATATATATATTGTCTGTTGTTGTTTACGGTTAATATTGATTCCAAAGGGGGGGAAAAAAGAACTTCTGGCATCAAGTCTGGCACCATGAAGAAGGTAGCTGTGTTGATGAAGGTAGGGAGCACAGAAGAACAAAGGGCTTACTACTAGGGATTTTTGCTGCAGCTGTGTACTCTTAAGCCAAAGAAGCTAAGAGAAAGGAAAATAAGCAGTTGTGGAGGGGTTGAATGGATTCTGACCAGCTAGCTCTCTTCTCACTCTATAGTGGGTGTGTATTGGGAGCCCTGTAATTAAACTAGTAGATGTTTTGTTTGCTGCCATTTCAGCTTCCAGGTTCTTGTGTTCCCTCAAAGTAACTATGGGCATGTCAAAAGGATGTTCACTATGCAAGCTGCCCTTAAAACAGCCTTTAGTACTACCATCCCTAGATCCCCTAAAAACCCCTGTCACCCAGGGGTTTGTTGGAGAAGAGGAATGGGGCATCAGGGTGATAATGATAGCCCTCATGTGCTGTGGTCCCTCTACAGCAGTGAAGTGTTTATGTCACTAGGCTTTTGAGGACACAGAATAGCTTTCAAACTATTAAGGAGCAGATCACACCAGGAAATTCTTCACTGGAAACAGGTACCTAAGAGTCACCCCTAAAAGGAGAGTGCCCCCCTTCTCACCAAGCCAAAATAGCCCCTTTTATGTGGAGGCTTCAAGATGTTAACCAACACCTAAACACAGATAGGAAGGGGATGGGATATACAGAGAATCAGTCTCTTACATATTTGGAAAAATATTTCGGCAATCAATACAGTCCAAATATTCAAACAAGTCATTTTGGCAATTCTTATCTGTCACCTCCAACCCTAAAACACAGTTACCTAGTAAACACATTATATTTACTTATTTGAAAATTTCAAAGCAATCCTTAAAAGTGTTTACTAAACCTACTTAACAGCTTCTTTAAGCTGGAGCATTACAAAGTTTTTCTCAAGTATATAAGCCCTCAAAGGGAATTTTCTCATCCCATGATGGCATTTGGGTGATGGTCTAGCCTTATTTAGGCAGTTTAAAATGAATTCTCAAGCCCTGCCCCGTAAGAGGAAAAAGTAACAACCTTTTTATAGATGAGGACAGTGACGTGGGGAAATGAAATGACTTGTAATAGTAAACCTACAAAACAGGTCTGACCCCTCACTTAGAATGCTTTCTCTACTGTCCTGCTGGCTGGAAGTATTGCAATTTCAAAGCAGAAGGATGAATGTGGAGAGTGTCGGGATTATATGGTGAAATTTATCATTGCAAATATGGAAGGCAGTGCAATATACTTACGAGTAAATAAGGCAAAATTCTAAGTTCTGTCACATGTTGCGGCATATGTTGATGTCTTACACTTTAAAAATAGGTTTCTTAATGTAGCCTACATGTTACCAGTATAAAATGAGGAACTGAAGCAATTCTAAAATCTTGATCCTACACCAGCTCCCCAGCCAAAGTTGATGAGCCAGAAGTATGAGAGGCAACAGCTGTTCTGCTAGAAGTGAAATGACCAGAAACATCCAGAATGTTCAATGTAATGGTGTGAGCCTTTCTACCACAAAATGGTGGGTTGTGTGTAATCACTGAGATTTTAACAGTGTTATTCTTTCTCTCTAAGCCAATATTCCCAACAATGAGAGAAAAATTGAATTTTGATTTTAAAACTGTCAGCAGAAACCCAGTCCTATAGGATGTATACATTTTTTTTCTTTCCCTTTTCGTTGACCAAGCTCTTAACGTCTGTGTAGGCAGCTTTTCTCAGAAGTACAACACTAAAGCGAAGGGCAGACATGCTCCATTTGTCAGAGCTTTCAGGTCTTTAGTACATTGAATTGGGCTGTCAGGGGAGCAACAGTTAAAGTTCTGAGCTCAAAGACCCTAGAAGGGAGGCTTGGGAAGCCAAAGACTGAAATCCGGCGTTATCTATCTCATATGGGCAATAGATTATATTTAATAAACAATTGTGTCAGACCTCTGAGTTCATTATATGTCAACTCATTTAATCACAACCATAGAAAGGAAGTAGCTGGTATTGGAGGTAATTGTCAAAGTTTTTATTCAGATGTCACCACCTGACTCATCTATTCTGAAAGACCCATGTGCTCTAACTGAGGTTAAACCTAGAATACTGCTTGAAGGAAAATTTAAATTGTAGTTACGATGGTAGATATGTGCGTGTACACATACACACATGTATACCTTCAGAGAAAGTAAACATTGTAGTAGATTTCATAATTCTGTTAGAATGGGAAGAAAGATCATCTCACCATTTTGATTTGGTAAAATCTGCATCTAAATCCTGTTATTACCTTGCTTTCCCATCTTTATCAGAGACCATGTTCATATTGACTTCACAAAAAAAAAAATTACGTACACTCCTTTTCAGCAAACGTATGCATGTTCTATTCAATAAATATTCAGATGTTTTTTAAGTACTTGTCTCTCAGAGCTTATTTTTTTAATTAGGTGATTCACTTGTAGCTGCCAGCATTTGTATTTCTGACTACAGGTTTGTCACCTTTGCTGGAATGAAGTTGGTCTCGGAGTGAAATTGGATGTGCACCTAACTTACATGCTGCATATAAAACAAATGAAAAAGTGGATGTGTGAGTGTGTGATGGTCAGATACTGAGTTGCACAGGAGTAAGAGGCCACAAGATGGCAAGCTAACAGGAAATGTGGTGTGGAGCTAAGATCTAGAAATTGAACTAGAAATTACTTTTCCATTTTTTATTTATATGCTATAAAGGACATAGACTAAGATGTGGTCATTTATATTTTTGAGTACTTACGATAAATTGAACAGTTACTGAAGTACAATTTTGAAAATTGGAAATGACTATGATGTATATTTTTTAATAGACCACCATTTATAATGAAACAGGCTAGAGTCACCTTGCATGTATTACATATATTTTTAACTTCCCATTAAGCACCAAAAAATCTTGTTTTGACAGCAAGGTAGTCACACTGCTACCTCTACATGCAAAGGAGACTTGGAAATGTGTATTTTTTTTAGCTAGGCACATTGTCATTGCCAACAAAATCTGAATTTAATTGACCACTAAGGTAAAAAAAAAAAAACAGTGCAGCACAGTTGGTTATTATATGTGATGCCAATATTCCAAAGATCTTTGAAACAATTTTGTACAGAAAACTTCTGAACAACTAGATTTGGAGTTAAAAAAATCCTGTATTCTTACTCCATCACTTCATGTAATATTAGGCAAGTCACTTTATCATTCTGAGTTGTACTCTTCTCATTATAAACATTTTAAAGATTTCTTCCATTCCACAATACCATGATTTTCTTAGTTCATGCAGCAGAGAGTATAAGATTCATGGATATGTTAATTGTTGCTGAGCTACTTCTGTGGGTTAAGCCTTGAGGGTACAATGGCAAAGGACATGGCTCTTGCCTACATTCAATATGCTCATAATTTAGAGGGGGATACAAATGCACAAGCAAATTATATAGGGATAAGTGATATAATAAAGCCATGTATTGTTAATTACGATATCTAACATTTAAAAAATCCATTTACCAACGCTTTGCATGGATCATCTTTGGTTAACAACCTATGACATAGGTATTATTTATCCCCATTTTACATTTTTTTAAAAAATGCTCTCTGGTAGAAATATTTGATCCAAGCCTTGAAATGAAATTAGATTTCTCAAGGTGGAGAAAAGAATGAAATTATAGAAAATATTAAGTACCTTCCGTGTTATTACAATGCTATGATTATAAAGAAGATAAATCTTGGGACGCCTGGATGGCTCAGTTAAGCATCTGCCTTCAGCTCAGGTCATGGTCCTGGGGTCCTGGGATCGAGTCCCGGGTCGGTCTCCTTGCTCAGTGGGGAGTCTGTTTCTCCCTCTGTCCCTCCTCCTGCTTGTGCTCTCTCTCTCTTTCTCTTTCTCTCTCTCTGACAAAATCTTAAAAAGATAAATCTTGTTATAATCAGTTCTATGGAACTGCCTAAATTGTTTAAAGAGGTGTCTTAGTATTGTACATGAAATTTGTTTTTTAAGGTAATTCTCTATTAGAGATCTTTCTATGGTATCAGGTTTATATAGTGAGATAACCAGTACCAAGTCTTATTTTGCCATTGCCCAGTATATGTTCTAGGTATGAGAACCATAGAATCTTGGAGCGTTAAAAGGAAATTTGGAGGTCATTTAGCTATACCTGCTGTACAATTCAGGAATATTCTTGATCATCGCTCTGAGGGTTCTCACTACTTTATTGCGCAGTCATTTCATTTTGATGTAGTTCAAATTAATAGAATATTTCTATATTAGATAAAATGTTTATCTCTTTGATGTTCACCAATACTGGTTCTGAAACATTGGAACATGTAACAAGGTATTTCTCTTTTCAGGATTGGGAAAATCATTCCCTATAGTCTGGACACAAACTTCTAACACAAGATTAACTTGTTTTCAATAGTCTTATACTACACTTTGCTCATTTCTAAGGTGTAAGCTTAAACTCCAAGGACTTTATGTCATGAACTAATATCAATCCTTGTCTCATATTAAAATTTTAAATCTTGATACAGAATGGCTACTTGTTCCATTTCATCTGACTTGTTCTGAACAAAATTCTGAGATATTTTAATCATGTTTTATGTCTGGCATTCAACATACTGGTCATTTCTTTTGTCTTCAGTAGATATAAGCGTATCTTCTGTGTCTTCATCCTAATCACTAACATGAATGTAGTCAGGAACTATTTTTGGCTATAAGTAAAAGAGCCTAACAAGGCAATGGCTTACATCAGGTAGGAGTTCTCTCTCACATAACAACAAAAACAAAAGCATGGAAATAGGCAGTTCAGAGTTAATATGGCAGTTCCATGACAGATGGCAGCAAATGTCCCAGGAGCTGTCTTTGTTTCTTCATGCATAAGGTCATGCTTCCATCCTCAAAGTCACCTCATGGTAGAAAGATGTTTACTACAGCTCTAGCTATGATGTCTCAGGCAGGAAGGGGCTGGGGAGTAAAAAGATGCATTCAAGCTAGGTCAGCCCTACTTTTTAACTTCTCCCCAGAGCATTGGTCAAAAAATCTTGTTTTGACAAGAAGATTTCACACTGCTACTTTTACATGGAAAGATACATGGAAAGGAGACCTGAAAATGTGACTTTTTAGCTGGGGACATTGCCACCTCCAACAAAATCAGAATTCTTTTAGGTGAGGAAGAGTAAATGGGTGGGTAGACAGAAGAAGCAGCAAGAGGAACAGATTTTTTTCCCAAGAAACCTTGAACTCCTAAGTACCAGGGACCTAAGCTGTGGGGATACAGGATACGAAAAGATGAATAAGACAACCTTCACTTTAGCCACAGTGAGTAGTTTTTAATGTCATCATCAAATTAATCTAATTAGAAGCTGTTTTCTCTGAGACTGGTTTATCACATTTGCTAGTCTTCCATAGAAAGTCAAATCTCAAGTTACTGCACTGACTCTCCTTTGAAATAAATGCTTTATAAATGAAAGCACTTGTTTAACCTAATGACTAATACTTCTTTTAGTTATAAGGGATTGATGACCATCAATTTAGTTAGTGAAATTTTATAGCAAGAAAGTGAAAATGGGATTGCTTAATATTTGTCTCCTCTGGACCCAATCTATTGCACAGAGTTCAACAGTGACCTTTTTCTAAAGGATAGAAAACTGGAATCCACTTCTTCAATTTCCTCTTATGCTGTACAGACAATTCTATACCACAGCCATCTGTCCATTTCGACTGACGGCATTAATGTCTGAAAAACATTTTCAAGACAATTAACAGAAGTCACATATATTACTTTGAACAATTATTTTTCCTTTTTAATATAAAATTAAATCTCCATAGTAGGGGAAGGATCAGATACTTCACCTTTAAGTAGATGGGAATGTTGACCTATTTGGGTAACATACAGAATTCATTTTACTTTGCTTTCAAACAATATATGGATATATCACAGCCTTTTAAAAAGTAATCTTTACTTAGAATAGGAAAATATCCCTGACACAGTGGAAACAAGATAGGTCTGTGGAAGGTTCTCAGAACTCCCCACAATCACCATTGTACGTTACAGCTGAAGGAAGATTTGCTCTGTGAGAAAAGACCCAATTTTATACTAAAGAAAGAGCTTCTGGTAGGTTTCTCCCAGAACACCTCCCTTGGGATTTTGTCATAAAATCCAAAAGAATGCTGACACTTTTTGCCTTTACATGCTCCACCACTGGTTTGTTCTTTCCTCACCAATTTTTTTTTACAGAATTGGGACACACCCTCTCTTTTGTGCTCTGTGCAGTATTAAATATACAAACAAAATATAAACTAGGAATAAGTTGGCATCAATATTTGGGGAAGGTGTGCTATGCATGTGATGGGATGGGGCACTTTGGGCTTTTAATTGCTTTATTTTCTTTATTAAAATTTTAAGAACAAAAATAATATGTGAAACAAAAGATTTATAAAGAAAAAAATCACCTCTCCTTTATCGTAACCAATGTTGAGATCCTTCCACATCTCTCCCCCTAATCACACAAACACTCTATACGTACACACGTGTCAAAGTTAGGATGCTCAACGCCTAAAAAGGGAAGAATAAGTACAAAAGATGTGTCCTACCTCTTTTTTTTAATTGTACAGGAAATAAATGTATGAAGAACATGGTTTTTATTAGGATTCTTCCAGTTGCAAGATACAGAAACCCTATTTAAACCAGTTCAAGCAAAAATGGGGAAATTATCTTTCATATAACTAAACTGCAGAAAGCATGGGTGGAAGGGGTAGTGGGGAGCCTGTGTCAGGGACAGCAGGACTGAAAAGTTCAAACATCCTCAGGTCTTTGCCTTTTTCTCCTCTCCTCTTAACTTTTCAGTCTTTCTGTCTTGAGGAAGTTGGTTTAATTTCCTTGGGAAGACTGGAACCATAGCTACTTGCAACCCTAGGCATTCTTTCATACAAGCACTTGAAAAAAAAAAAATTCCCTCCAGCTCCAATGAGAAGAAACCCTGTGGCCACAGACAAAATCTGTAGCCAGAAAGATTTTGGGGTTGAGTGCTAGAAAGCCAAACTACCTGCAGGTCAAGAATGGCTTGAATGAAATTAAGAAGATGTCTGTTTAGTGATCTGGGCAGCCTCATGAGGTGAGAAAGTGGTTTAAGGAAGAACCGCGGTTGATCGTTAACTCTGCTTCTACTAGATGTAGATCCCTGAAAGAAAGTGACTGAACTTGGGGGTCTCACTTTCTTCATCTCTAAGGTTATCGTCTGCTTTCTGAGCACTAGTGGTGGAGGGGGGTCAAGTCAAGGGAGGTGACCCTGTCAATACAGGACATGGTGTGAGATGTGAGATACTACCCCCATCTTCACCTCCATGCTCCTCCATGAAAGTGGAGATTTTCTTGAGGCAGGAATTGTAGATCTCTGAAGGTACATAGCACAGTGTCTTGTTTCTATTGATCACAACTCAGTAAGTATTAATTTAGTGATAAGAGAAACAATAAAGATGCCAAAATTTGAACACTAGTTTCTCTCAATCAAATGCTTTGGGTCTTCACTGGCACCAAGACAAGTTCCAGAGTATTCTTATAGGAAACTCATTTTGTAAACTAAGCTTAAAGGAGGGGAAAAAAATCATTTCCCTTCCTGTCTAAACAACTTCATTCACAGTCCTTGCTCCCGTTACCTTTCCATCTCCTCTCCATGCGAAGTGGGAAAGCAAGCAATCAATGCTAATGTCCCACCAATCCATTTCCCTAGAGCAGAACTGGTTGTCATAACTGATGTTACGAGGCTGAGCTTCTCAAAAACATTTTTGGCAGCAAACTTACCCTGAGACTGAAAAATCGTCTCCATTCCAGTTCTGTGCACTAAAACCCTATTTTCTAGGGCACCTGGGTGGCTCAGTTGGTTAGGCGACTGCCTTTGGCTTGGGTCATGATCCTGGGGTCCCTGGATCGAGTCCCGCATCGGGCTCCCTGCTCGGCAGGGAGTCTGCTTCTCCCTCTCCCACTCCCCGTTTGTGTTCCCTCTCTCGCTGTGTCTTTCTCTGTCAAATAAATAAATAAAATCTTTAAATAAAGAAATAAATAAATAAAACCCTATTTTCTAGATTATGTGCCATGATCGGGGCCTCAAAAACCTTAAACTTTTTTAACCCCCATCACTGTCAAAAATTTAGATGTATTCCTTTAAGTCCTTCAGTGGTTACCTGCATTTTTTAAGGTGAGGTGTTTTCATATCAAATGGATGTAGGCTCATGAGTGCAACAGTGAGTGATCTGAGGCATAAATTGAAAGATGGGGAAAACCACAAAGTTCACCTTTCTCTGTCTTGTCCAGGGCACAGTCTTTAAGACAGATTATAACCACTGTTGGTGACACGGTTTGTAGATAATGACAGAAATAACCTTCATTATGCATGTATCGCAGTGGCTTTCTGCTGAAGAGGGCAGGGCCATGGAAGACATGACATAATCGGTTTTAGTTAAAATTACATTTTTATGCACTGACTTCTCATTAAAAAATTCCCAGTGGAGAAGAATGATTTCTGAGCTATCCTTACCAAGCAGGGTTGCAAGTCATGTTCTAAAACTGTCAGAAAAGGTTTATTTCACAGAATAATAATACTCAGTGCAGTCAAGTAACAATATCAATGACAGACAACAAAACCACTTCATTTTATTCTGGAGAAATACACATCCATTAGAGTATTAAATCCAAAGATGGTATATCTGTGATTTTTTTTTAAAAAATAAGAAAGTAAGGAGTGCTTGGGTAGGTCAGTCGGTTGAGCCTCCAACTCTTGATTTCCATTCAGGTCATGATCTTAGGGTTGTGAAATCCCGCCCCACGCCGAGCTCCATGCTGGGCGTGGAGCCTGCTTAAGATTCTCTCTCTCCCTCGCCCTCTGCCTACCACCTGCCCCCCTCGTGCTCACATGCTCTCTCTCTTTCTTTAAAGGAAAAAAAATAAAAATAAACTAAAAGCTAGGCTCCAAATCAAGTAATAATAAACATCTTTTTTTTGCGTTTTTCCACACCGATGTAACAGCATAGTACACATTTTATTATCTATTCTAGAGAGAGATGTACTAGTAAAGTGTGGGCAAACTATGATATATTGTAGACTACATTCTGAATTCCTGATTATCAAAAGGTTCAACAAATACAGAAATTTAAAAAGTATTTTAATGTTCAGTGGTAGAAGTGTCAAGTAATTATCAAGTTGGGTATGTTCTCTTTCTGGGTCCTACCCTGCTCCTGGTCAATGTGCTCAATGGGACCTGCCTTCCCGTGTGACTCTAGAGTGACCCTTTCAGGTGTCTCCTAGTTCAGGCTTAAGCAGAATATCTCCCAGTAATATTTCTATCAACTTGGAGACCACAGATGATGGCTTTCTTCCCTCTTCCCTACTCCACTTATATCCAGGGAGCCCTAACCTGCAGAGTCCTGGGCTCTGTGGTCATTTCCCCAAGCCAGGCCTTCTCACGGAGTGTCACTGTGTGTGCTTTTTTGTGTCCTTGGTTAGCTGCTGCCCCACCCTCAACATGCTCTTTCTCTACAAAGATTAAGAAGGGCTGAGTGAGGGGAGCCTCGGCTGCCACTATGGAAAGACTGCCAGCACTTCAACCTCAGCTTGGAGGCCATCACATTTTTCAGAAATGTCATATTTTATATTTTCCAGTTGATGGATCTAAGCATTTAAAAGAATGCTGCCTTTTGAATTTCTTCAGACTAATTTGCAATTAACTATTCAAACACAACTCGCATACATACTTGAATCCTGCAACAATGAGATCTCTGTCTAGTGTATACAACTGAGCACATACTGAAAATTTTAAAAAATGTCCCAAATGACATAAAGGCTGACGCCCTTTGTGTTCCAATGTAGCCCAGATCTTGCTTAGAAAGGATGCAGGTTCTCCTTGTCTAACCCTCTTGTGCATCAAAAAGCAGCTTTGTTTCACCTCGCTGGGGTGAGCTCATGGCCAAATCTGCATGGCGATTCTGGAGTAGGGGAGGAGCCCCTATCTCACCACATTCAACATATCTGAGGTTGTGGCACTCACATGCTGAGGACTTGAGTCTTTTAGAGTATTTTTGGAGACAGCACTTAATAAGGCACTTGAGAACCAAAAAGCTCAGTTCAATGAAATTCAACATAATGCACAGGCATGAGGTAATAACCAAGAAGAGTATGAAGATCGTTTTCTCGGTGGGTTTGGATATGAAGCAGTCCACAGTGTTGGGACAAGGCTTCAAATCACACTTCATAAGGTAGGGAACACTAAAGCCGTCATATAGTTTGTAAAATAAAGCCAGGAAGCCAATTTCAAAACCAGTTTTAAGAATAAGGCTGATAAGGTAAGTGTACCACAGGCCCACATCCATCATACCTGGGCTGACATAGAGTTTCTTTCTGTGCCTTTTCTCTCTACCCTCACGATAGGCTACATGTAGAACCACCAGAAGTGAAGGCGTGGAGACCATGACCAGTTGTAAGGCCCAAAGTCTGACCTGGGAGATGGGGAAGAAGTGATCAAAACACACATTTTCACAACCAGGCTGTTTAACGTTGCACTCAAACTCTTTCTGCTCATTTTTCCACACATGCTCTGCTGCCACCATGTAGACCAGCAAACGGAAGATGAACACAACAGTGAGCCAAATCCGCCCAATCCCGGTTGAGTATTTGTTTACTCCAGTTAGGAGGTCCCTGAGGAACATCCAACTCATGACTTGGGTTCAAAAGAAGGTAAGATTCTGCAAAAGAAAACAATTTCATCATGATTCACTTATTTTTATTTCATTGATCATTTCCACTGTCTTATTTGATTACGGGATTGTGGAAGATAAACTCAAATTTCAACTCTGGATGTTGATGACTCACTTTCAAACAAGGAGATGATACAGATGGTCCACAGATGTAATTTATCTCATGCCCAGTTTAATTTGGAATTTGGTTGGTGATCCCACATACACTATCCCATTTTCAAACAAATTCTTCAGTTTATTGCTTCTCTCTAAGGATGGATGGGTTCTGTTACTGATCTAGAAAAAATTAGATATGAATCCCAAGGTGACTTTGGTACCTTGAGATAGCCCTCACATACCCACTTCTTGAAGTTGTAATCTCTACTCACTTTTTCTACTTTGTCAATGCCCCTCCCCAATCCCTAAAGGTTATTCACTGCACCTACCTCCCTTTGTGTCCCATATCCCATACCAACAGCTGAGCTCACCTACATTCTGACAGTGATAAGTGAGGCTCTCCAATATGAACTCCAAACTCATGTTTCCTCACCCCTCCAGACTTACATCCATGCCCAACTTAACCTGTTCCACCCAGTTTAGAGGGAGGAGTCAGTCTCATATTGCCCCAAAATGATCATTCCGGCTCTACAGCCCATTCTTGATCTATCCATTTTCCCTGGTTCTATATTCTGTATCTCCAACCCTCACCATTTTATTCATCTCAGCATATAAGTGTACTTAAATGTTATCCATTTTTAATGGGAGAAATCTGCATAGCTTATCTCTCTGACAAACCCTCTATCTTCCTTTATCCCTTATTTCTACTTCCTCAGTTATTATTTACTCTTCAACTCACTGAGTCTAGTTTTTTCTGCTCACCATTGCACACTAAAATTAGCACTGCCACTCAACTACCAAATCTTCTGGATGCTCTGGATCTCATTTAATTTTTCTATGATACTGTTGCCTGCTCTTGTGTTCTTGAAACTCTTTCAGCCTTGACATACGTATTACTCTCTCTTCTCTTTCTATTGTTCTGATCCTCTTTATTGTACCATCTTAGGTTTCTTTGTCTAGTTCTTAAAAGCTCTGTCCTCTGTTCTTTTCTCACTCCATATTCTCTCCCTAGAAAATCTCATTCATTCCCATGGATTCAACTGCTGCTTTCCGATTCCTGACTCTCAGATCTTCAGCTTCTCCCCAGATTTCCATATCTCACTGCCTCTTGGTTATCATTTAAATATGTCACAGGCATCTCAAACTTATATCTACAGCTGAATTTATTATCTGCCCTGCCCTTTGATTTTCTTGCTTAATGGCATCACCAGTGCCCAAGCACCCAAGTTGGATATCTCATATTCATCCTGGACTCCTTTCTCGTGACTCTTTAATTGCTCACCAAATTCTTCTGATTCCTCCTAAATATCTCTCAAATTCCCCTCCAGGTCACTGCTGAAATATCTCTCACCTATACATCCTTCCCACAGCTTTCTATTTCCAGTCTCATCATCTCTTCCCCTCTCCTCCTAGTATGTCCTTGATGTTGCTTAATTATCTTGCAACTCTTTCCGTCATTTTGCTCTTTAACATATAAAAGCTGACAGGACAAAAAATCCAGTCAAGAAATGGGCAGAAAACATGAACAGACATTTCTCCAAAGAAGACATACAGATGGCCAACAGATACATGAAAAAATGTTCAGCATCACTCACCATCAAATCAAAACCACAATGAGATACCACCTCACATAGGCCAGAATGGCTAAAATTAACAAGTCAGGAAACAACAGATGTTGGCAAAGGATTCAGAGAAAGGGGAACCCTCTTACACTGTAGGTGGGAATCCAAACTGGTACAGCCACTCTGGAAAACAATATGGAGGTTCCTCAAAGAGTTAAAAATAAAATTGCCCTATGACCCAGCAATTGCATTAGTAAGTATTTATCCAATGGATACAAAAATAGTGATTCAAAGGGGCACATGCACCCCAATGTTTATAGAAGCAATGTCCACAATAGACAAACTATGGAAAGAACCCAGATGTCCATAGACAGATGAATGGATAAAGAAGATTTGGCATATATAAAAAATGGAATACTACTCAGCCATAAAAAGGATGAAATCTTGCCATTTGCAACAACGTGGATGGAACTAGAGGGTATTATGCTAAGTGAAATAAGTCAGTCAGAGAAAGGCAAACACCATATGATTTCACTCATGTGGAATTTAAGTAACAAAACATGAACATGGGGGGAGGGAAGGAAAAATAAGATAAAAACAGGGAGGCAAACCATGAGAAACTCCTAACTATAGGAAACAAACTGAGGGTTGCTGGAGGGGAGGTGGTTGGGGGTTGGGGTAACTGGGTGATGGGTATTGAGGAGGGCATTTGATGTAATAAACACTGCGTGCTCTGATGCAACTGATGAATCATTAAGTTCTACCCCTGAAACTAATAATATACTATATGTTAACTAAATTGAATTTAAATTTAAAAATAGTTTTAAAAAAGTTGATAGGATGCTAGAGAGCCTTCTTTTTCATTTCAGTGATGTTGTCTTTCTGGCTTCTATTTTGTCTTATAATTGAATTCTGTGGTTTAGCCCCCAGTTTGTTTGTTGGGCTCATTATATACTCAGCACTCTCTGTTCAGTGCTTTCGAGTTGGGTCTCTCACAACTACCCTGGGAAGTGGAATTTCTGTTTTTTGGTTTGGTTTGTTTATGGTGGTGGATGTTTCGTTCTTTCACATGAGAAAGCAGATTCTAAAAAATGAAGCCACTTTCCCACGTTTACAAAATAAGATGCAGAACAGTGTTCAAATCGAATTTCCATCACTCTAAAACAGAGCTTCTCAACAGGGGCACTATTAAATTTGGGGCTGGATAAATCTTTGTTGGAGCAGCTGCCCTGTGCATTGTAGGTTGTTTAGCAGTACTCCTGGCCTCTACGAGCTAGATGCAGTAGTACCACCTCCTGCCCCCATTTCAGACAACCAAAAATGTAGTCCAGACATTTCCAAATGTACCCTGTGGAGATGAGGCAAAATCTCTCCAAGTAAAAATCACTTCTCTTAACTTTCTGCTTTCATCAGAAGATGTGGACCAGAGCTCCAGGTCTGCCACAAATATTCTTTGTGATTTCTCAGGTGAAATCCTTGCCATTTCATGTCTTGTTTTCTGTTACAAAATTATTACTTTTTGCTTTATAACTCAGCTGAAAGAGTATCATGGAAATGATGGTGTGAGGGGAATGAGGAGGTTAAGAAAATTGGGATATTGTTATAGCAGCACACCTGTTGGAGCATGTCACATTACCTCTTACAGAGGGAACAATATGTAGTAAGCCCACACGCTAGAGCCCTGAGGAAATACGAAGGTTAAGAGATGTTTTCAGAGAAAACAAAGATACATGTACACAGTGCTCTCTATTCAGCAGGGAATAAATACCTCAATGTCCTTGGGTTTTCAGAACACAAACAAAATTGTATTAAATAAAAAGGGTTCTCAAATCCACCTGAAAGGTTAATGTCTCTATGAATTATTAAAACAAAGTCCCAAAGATTAAAAAGGGAAAACAAAAAGTATTATGTTTTCCTATAACATGTGTCATTGGGCATTTGTCCATATTATTCAAAAGGATATTTATGTAATGTTACAAAACATTTGAAAGTACCCTGTTGGGCGTTTTAGAGAAGGGAGGAAGGCAAGAATAGGTTCAGACTTTTTTGCTAAAAGGAAAGCAGTAAAAAAGCAACTGGTGTTTGAGTAGAATTGGAAGACTGATACCATCAAATGTGACAGGATTATGAATTTCATTTGACTGATAGATGTCTATCCTATTTTGAAGTTTTTTGCTGATGGAAAGGTAATGGCTTTTCTCAGAAGAGAGAGGTTTTCTAATGTTAGTTCAATTTTAACAAAGGTGGTTTAGCATAATGGATAAGAGCCTGGGCACAGTGTTGGACTCCTTGGGTTCAAGTCCAAGTTCACCTCTGATGATAATAGAACCAGCCACATGGGGCTTAAAACAGAGTCTGACACATGGTAGGTGATCCACAAGCATTATTATTATCATCATCATTATTATTTTGCCATTAAAAGCCTTTCCTTGATGTCAAATTGGAAGTCTTTCCAATTGTAAGTTAAGTATATTTTTTTCTCTAGGTTTTTTCCTATGAAGGTCGATAAATTAAGAATCTCCATTTAATAGTCCTTTAAGCATTTGAAAGCAGTCATTATTGGTTTGAAGTCATTAGCTCATCACTCAAAATTCTTAGAAGAACACAAAGAACACTCATATCTCTTAATAATAATTCAGATTGTCTCTTTATTTTTAATAAAGGCCTTTAATTTATCCCTTTTCTTAAGCCACTAAGGATAACTACCAATTTTTAAAAATTTTTAAAAATTTTATTTATTTATTTGAGAGAGAGATAGAGAGAGAGAGAACGCGAGCAGGGTGAGGGGCAGAGGGAGAAGCAGACTCCCCACTGAGCAGGGAGCCCAATGCGGGGCTCGATTCCAGGACTCCAGGATCATGACACAAGCTGAAGGCAGACGCCAAACCAACTGACCACCCAGGTGCCCGATAACTACCAATTTTTGAATAGTTTCTACTTGCCAATTCTAATGTACTAATTCTCCTATGACTTTCTCTTTCTTGTAAGAACTAGCAGTTAACGGCACAGGAGTTTAGTTTGGAAAATTCAATTAATCAAATATTCTCAGAAAGTAAAATATTCAATATTGCCAATATCAGGAATAATTTTGGGGAGTTGCAAATTTTCCCCAATCATTTGATCTGAGTTAAAAGTGGAGGTGAGAAGGTGCTGGGTCAATCAGATTTCCATATGGAAAAAAATGAAGTTGGATCCCTACTTTACACCATTTAAAAACTTAACTCAAAATGGATCAAAGACCTAAATAAAAGAGCCAAAACCATAAAATTCTTAGAAGAACACAAAGGGGTAGTAAATCTTTATGACCTTGAGTTT